CCATCTGTCAAATGCTTCCCCAGGCCGGGCCCTTCACCAGGTACCCGTGCCCCCATGACCTTGGCATTGCCTTGTTTGCCCGTGTCCCTGTGGACAGGATGGACACGGAGGCTGAATGGGGAGGCAAGTGCCTAGGGTCAACCCGTCAGGGCGGCACTTGGACCCAGGCCTCTCAGTCGAGCCTCCTGTTAAAGGCCTATGCCCCCCTGGCTCTCGGTACCCTCTGTGCACACCTCACTGGTGCGGCTAAGGGGCAGGGACCCACCAGCTTTGGGGACCCAGAAGGGCAAGAGCAGGCTGGGGTGGGGCGCTGGGGACATCACTTGTCACAGAGGGCCCCTCCCTGTGTCCCACCCAGGGCCGATTCACGATCGCGGCCAAGCACCACATCTCCATCGCCGAGATCTATGAGACAGAGCTGGTGGATATCGAGAAGGTGAGTGGCCGTCGGCCCTGCCTGGCCAACGGTGGGGGAGGACCACAGTGGCCGGTCCCCTCGGACTGGGGTTCATCTCTCTGCTCTGTCTACTTGGGAGGTTTCTGGTGTCTGAGTACTGGAAGAGGGGCGTGGGGCATTGGCAGAACTTGCGTGAAGGCCCCAGGGTCGGGCCCGTGGTGGACAGCGGTCACCTTGCCACCTCCTTGCCCTCTGCCCCTTCCCCGCGTCTCCCCCAGGCAATCGCCCACTACGAGCAGTCTGCAGACTACTACAAAGGGGAAGAATCCAACAGGTACGGGCCGCAGGCTCCTCTCTCCCTGTCCTCCCCAGGCCCCAGTAAGCCCCAGGCCACCACCGACCTCTGTCTTCTCCGCCCACCCCACACAGCTCAGCCAACAAGTGTCTGCTGAAGGTGGCTGGTTATGCCGCTCAGCTGGAGCAGTATCAGAAGGCTGTTGACATCTATGAACAGGTGGGGACAGGTGGGGCTCAGAGCCCTGCTCTCTGGGAGGGCGCCACGCCCAACGTCTGCACCATGCTCCCTCCCCCTGCCTTCTGTCACATGCCTCCCTCCATCACCTCCCTGGCGCTCATCCTGTCCTTGCTGGCTAAACCTTTATCCACCCACGACCCCACACGGTCTCACCGCCCCCTCCCTATACGCTTCTCACAGGGAGCTTCTGGGGAGGCCCAGGGTCCTGGAGGGAAGGAATCAGTGAGGCCTGGGGTGGCCGGAGGTAGCTGAGGAGCCTGCAGGAAGGGGGCCAGGAAGCATGGTCCCGAACGTGGTGGGTGGGACAGGGAGGGAACGTCACGTGGGTGCGCAGGCTCCCCTGGGCTGTGTGGGGAGGGCTGGGCGGGCCAGGCTGTCCTGGTGGGTTCAGTTTGGCCAAGAGAAAGGCAGGCAGCTGGCCTTGGAGGAGAGGGGGGCGGGCGCCACCTCTCATGTTCCCGCAGCCTGCCGTCCCTCTGCCCACCGCGTGCCAGCCTCCCATGGGGCCTGACAGCGGGGCCGCCTCTTCCCCAGCGTCGTGGGTGCTTCGGGGCCTACGGACACCTGGCTTCAGCCCTGTGGCAACACCCATCTCCTGTCATACCCTGGGCCTTGGCTGCCCACACACCACCAGCTGACTTCCCTGGGGCTGGTCCTTGGCCTCCCTGCCCTTGGGGTTCCGGGTTAGCAGGGCCCCCCCCGGGACACACATGTGGCTCCCAGCTGGCCCCCAGGTGCCTGGCAGTGACCCTGGCCCTCTGGCTGCCTGCCCCAAGCTTATGGTGCCGCCTCCACATGGTCACAGGTGGGGACCAACGCCATGGACAGCCCCCTCCTCAAGTACAGCGCCAAGGACTACTTCTTCAAGGCGGCCCTCTGCCACTTCTGCATCGATATGCTCAATGCCAAGGTGAGCTGGGGCCCCGTGGGCCCGCCCAGAGCTTCCCCCACCTCCCAGGGACCACCTCGGAGCGTGGTGTCCATCACTAGGCCAAGTCACCTTCTAACTCCTTAATAGGGGTGAGCCCCTCCCTCACGTCCGACACCCGACAGCTGCAGACAGGAAATGCGTGCTCTCACTGGTGTGTTCCTGGCCCTGGTGTCACCTGCCCAGTCTCTGCCGCTTTTGAGTTTATCCAGCTCCGGGCTCACTCAGTGCCAGGCCTTGTCTTCAGTGAGAGCATGTTTTGAATCCTTATTTGCATTCCTTGAGGTCAGCGTCACTGTCCCCTGTCCTACGGATGAGGACGCTGAGGCTGAGACCAGAGACCCTTATTCAAGGCCCCATGGCTGGATTCCAGGTCTTTGACTCCCAGTGTCATGATCAGAACCATAGCATGCACGCCCACACCACCCATATTCAGGGCTGCTTGGCAAGAGAGGGGTCCGTGCTGGGCGAGGGGGTGGGGAACAGCCCAGGGGGGAGCTGGACTTTTCCTGGGGGCAGCGTTGCCGGGGCCCCAGCTGCACTGCCCTCCACCACCCCTGCTCCCGTTGTGGGTAAGAGCTTGGGCTCTGGCGTCGGGCCGGTTCGCGTCCCCGCCCCCATGTACCCTGTGCCCTGAGCAGGTCGTTGTGCGCTTCCCCACTTCCAGAATAGGGGTCACCGTCATTCGACCCTCCCTGGGTCCACGTGATGGTTAAATGTGGGAAGCGCCCAGCACCAGCCCTGGCACGTAGGATGGGCTCGTACGAGGCAGTTGTCATCTGCCCCCTACCGTGGGCACTGGCCTGGGAGACACCCCCCCCCCCCCCAGCTGCTTCGTCCCCACAAGCTGTCTCTGCAGCAGGCTTGGCTGGGCACAGCCCCACAGAGGTGCCCTCCAGGCACAAAGCCAGGTGACACTGGAGGCTGGGGGAGGGGCGCAGGGTGCTGACCGGGGCCAGATGTCTCATGTCTCAGATCCCCTTGGCTGCCAGGCCGGTGGCTCCAGTGGCCCATCTTCATTAGCTTGTCCCCTTCCCTCCTTCCACCCTGGCGATGTCCAGCTTGCTGTCCAGAAGTATGAGGAGCTGTTCCCCGCGTTCTCTGGGTCCCGGGAGTGCACGCTGATGAAAGTGAGTGCTGGGCGCTCTGCAGCCCTCTCCCCGCCCTTTCCCTGCCTCTGGGCCTGGAGGGCTCAGCCAGGACTGGGGTGTTGGAGGTGGGGGGGCACCTGGAGGCTTGGGCTCTGGTTACTATAATCATCAGGGTTTGTACAGCAGTTCTTTTTTTTTTTTTTAAAGATTTTATTTATTTATTTGAGAGAGAGAATGAAATAGAGCATGAGAGGAGGGAGGGTCAGAGGGAGAAACAGGCTCCTCGCTGAGCAGGGAGCCCGATGCGGGACTCGATCCCGGGACTCCAGGATCATGACCTGAGCCGAAGGCAGTCGCTTAACCAACTGAGCCACCCAGGCGCCCTGTACAGCAGTTCTTAAAGGTCTTTTGGTTTTGTTTTGTTTTCCCTCATTTGGGCCTCTGTTTTCTTGATGAGAGAAGTAAGGCTCAGGTGGTGATGGAGGTAGGGGCAGTGTGATTTCTCACATGAGCATGCACACGCGCGTGCACACACACACACACACCGGGCAGGGGTGGAACCAGCCCCTTCCTCCCTCCCAGCACGGGAGCCCCCTGACCTGCCCCCCGCAGGATGGTGTATGTGTGGGTCTAATCCAGGTCAGGCCTCAGGCCAGCCTTGGTCCCTGACCCCTGCCTGCCATCTTCTTGCAGAAATTGTTAGATGCCCATGAGGAGCAGAACATTGACAGCTACACCGAGGCGGTGAGTGGCCGGGGCTGGGGGCAGGGGTGGGGGGCGCCCTGTACAGACATACTCTCCCATGAATCCCACCCTTTCTCTGACCCCCGTCCTGGCTGTGAATCCCTTTCTCCAGTCACCCCAGGATCCTCACGGGGAGCCCCGGAGGTACGGGAGGTGTCCTCCCCCTATTAGAGATGATGGCACTGGGGGGAGGTGAGGAGACTCATCCTCCATCCCTTAGGGGCAGAGCTGGGAGGCAGACCTGATGTCTGTCTGTCCCTGGAGGCCAAGGTCTTTGCACCAGTGAGTGTCCTTGGTGAGCAGTTGGGAGGAGCAGGGAGGGAGAGAGACGAGTTGTGGAAGGGGGGGGCCCCTTCCGGCACCAGCTTCCTTGGTAGAACCGCCCCACAGAGGTGTGTCTCCCTTTCCTTACTCTCTTTTGAACAATCCGGAACTTGGTTGGGCCCAGCTCCAGTCCTAATCCAGTCGTCTAGACTGCATCTGTCAAGTGTTGTCTCCTGGGTGCCCCTCGGGAATCCTACACCACCAACAATGACAGAGACCAAAGTTCCTCCAGTCCATCCTGCCCCGGACGGTGGCAGGACGTCAGGAAGCTCAGCCACAGAGAAGGGAGGAGCGGGGCCGGGGCAGGGTGACAGGGCTCGGTTCTCCCTCTGGCCCCGTCCCCGTGGCGCTTGGAATAGGCCTTCACATCTCCAGGCCTGTTTCCCACCCATGAAACAGGAAGCTGGACCGTTTTATGCTGCAGCATCCTTTCTTTTTCTCAAGGCAGCCTTAGAGGGAGCCCCCTCCCTTTGCTCCTCCTCAGGGAGGCGGGCTGGGACACATGTAGAGGATTTGGGGACCAGAGACTCTGGGCTTGGGGACAAGGAGGGAGCCAGGACCAGGTACGGGACTGGCCCCACTGTCACCTTCCCCTCCCCATGTGTCCCAGGTGAAGGAGTACGATGCCATCTCCCGGCTGGACCAGTGGCTCACCACCATGCTGCTTCGCATCAAGAAGACGATCCAGGGGGATGAGGAGGACCTGCGCTAAGCCCCACCCAGCCCCCTGGCACCTGTCTTCCTGCCCCGTCTTCTCTACCCCCGCGCCCCTCTAGCGCGTGAGCCCAGAGAGAGAGGTGGGGCTGAGACCTTGGCTGTGAGACCTCCCTTCCCTTCCCGCAGAGGAGTCTCCCCAAGCCACAGTGCGGGCTCAGCCCTGCTTTGGGTCCCTGAGGCCAGGCCTGCTGGCCAGACAGTCCCCCTCTGTTCTTGCTGCATCCCTCGCCTCCTACCCATTTATTTAAGCCCCTCAAAGGTGCCCCTTCTCTGCCCCAAAACATAGACTCTTTGACACAGACTTATTTGCTGTGGGTGCTGCCAGGGGTGGGGGTCAGCATCTGGTCCCCCATATCCTGACCAGCTGAGGCACGGGGCTGGTTTCTGTCGTTCCCACTTGTCCTCCAGCCGAGCTCTGAGCACATGTAGCTGCTGAGATTTGCTCTCTCCACGGGGGTGGGCTCCTTCCCCTCCAGTGCTGGGACCCCGCCCCACCCCCCAACCCCCACCCAGCCTCCTGCAGCCCTGACCTCTCAGGATAGACCGCAGGCCCTGGAGCTCAGAGGGTCATCCCTGCACCCACCCCTACATCTGCTCCTTCTGTAGTGCTTTGAGGTTTTGTGGTCGGAAGCTGCAGTTGGCCTAAGAAAGAAAATAAAAAAGAACACTTTGCATGAGTCTCTCTTTTTCCTCCTCAACTCTGCTGCCCCCTTCTCCCTTCAGGGCTGGTGTCCTGTCTTCCTGCCCCTCCTGGTACCTGCCTTGGGCTCTGGGCACACTTGGTGGGAAAGAAGAGGGCGAGCATAACTGAAGATGGGGCTGGGGTCAGAGGTCCTGGGGGAGGCCTGGGGATGGGTGGGCTCGGGAGTCTGGGAGCGCCTGGCTTGATCCTATGGCCTCTGGGTTCTGCGGGCCTCAGTTTCCTCCGCTGGGACGGTGGGTGGCAGTACCAGCCCTCAGCTGGCTGGAGAAGGGAGGGTACGGACGGTGGTAAGGAGGGTGGAAGAGGCCCCTCATGGAAGGAGGGTTGAAAGCCCTGGTGGTATTTGTTCCAGGTGCCCAGGATGAGGGGGGACACGACTTCGGTGGGCAGGGCACGAAGACCAAGCGGGTGTGGCAAGTGGAAGGGGGGACGACAGGAGCCCTTGCCTGGGAAAGGTGGGCAAGAACCACCTGCCTCCGCCACATGCCACAATGGAGGCTTGCGTGGAGGTGAGCAGTCTGACACACGTGGGCTGTGGCAGGGACAGAACTGGAGGAGGCTCAGAGTCGCCATGGGAGGGGGTGTCTGGAAGTGAAGGGGGGCGCAGGACGAGAGGAGGGGCCGCCTGGGAGACCAAGGCTCCTCGAAGAGGTGCTCCAGGCTAGAGCCTGGAACAAGTCCCAGAGAGGTTCAGGTTCACCGTGTCAAGAGAGAACGGACTGCAGCACCGTGCCCTGCTCCTGTCCCCTTGAGCTCCTCCCACAGCTCAGATGGATTGGTTGATGATGGCTGCCTAGGGCGCAGTTAAGACTCCTGAGACCTGAGATCAATTACTGATGTCTGCCACGGGCACCGGCTGGAGACTAAGCGCCAGAATCTCTTTCTGCCACCAGTGACCTCAATAATGAGTCTCAACCCTGGGCTGGGCTTGAAATCACTTGAAGTACACAAGCCTGGGTCAGAAGGTGATAAACTGTGATTCGGATGAAGCTCCCCCCTCTTTTGGGAGGTTCTGGTTTTGGTTTTTTTTCCTGAAAATTCCACAGCCGAGTCACATGTGCTGTAAGGGGTGGAAATCACTGAGCAGGACAATTCTTTCCTTCCCAACCTATAACTTCATTTATTCATTTGACAGATGTTAAGTGAATGTAGCTTAGAGGTTACCACGTGAGGGAGAAGCAGCCTGAAGAAAACATTCTTCAGAAGCAGAATTAGGGCGCCTGGGTGGCTCAGTTGGTTAAGCGACTGCCTTCGGCTCAGGTCATGATCCTGGAGTCCCGGGATCGAGTCCCGCGTCGGGCTCCCTGCTCGGCGGGGAGTCTGCTTCTCCCTCTGACCCTCCCCACTCTCATGTGCTCTCTCTCATTCTCGCTCTCTCAAATAAATAAATAAATCTTAAAAAGAAAAAAAAAGAAGAAGCAGAATTAGACCCCACATTTCATCGACTCAGCGAGTATCCACTAAGCACCTACTGTATACCATGCCTGGTCTAGGCCCTGGGAATATAGTATGAAACCACATAGCTAGACCCTGCCCTCCAGGAGGATTTGGTCACCAAATCCCGAAGTCGGGAATGGACACAGACTCCCCTTAACCACCCTCCAGATCCCATGTGCCTTTGAGAACTTTCCCCTTATGTCTTATGTAACAATGTCCCTGGTGCTTGGCAAAGGGGCTGGCACGGAATCTGTGGATTTCTAACACATTTACTGAATGCTTGCTTTTGTCAGACCTTGTGGTCCAGGAGCTGGGGATCTGACTGTGACCAAGGGAGATCCAGTCCCTACCTTCACGGATCCTGCAGTCCTCGTTCACATGTGTGTGCACCCGCATGTACACTCGTACTTCCCGCAGTGTGTGTGTGTGTGAGAGAGACAGAGAGACAGAGACAGAGACAGAAGATTAACTCAACGTGGCCAGACAGTTGGCCAACTCTTATCTTCTGGAAATGATGTACAGATGTATACAGAGTCCCTCAAACTCCTGATGCCTTTCTAGAGTCCAACAAAAAAAAGCACATATATGAACCCCTGAAGACCCCAGAGCCTCCCCCACTTTCCAGTCATATCAGAGCCACCATTTATTTCATCCTCTACAAATTGGGACAATAAACTCCTTTGCCGAGTTGGAAGGGTTCATCGAGATTGATGTGTAAGGGATGACCTGGCACACGGTTAAGTGCTCAGTAAATGCTCAGTAAATGAAAGCAGGGTAATAACAGCTGGGTGGCTGTCAGGATTCAGAGAAAATCGGAGCCAACATGACCGGCGCGAAGTAGGTATTCATTCAGTGAAGGAGGTGGTTCTTTGCTAGGACGGACAGCCAGATCCTTTTTCCTTGGGTACGAATGCATTTCACCACTTTAAAGGTAACGTGATTAAAATAACAGACTATGGGCTATCTCGTACGGATTCCACTACCGCTTACTAGCTGTGCGATCATAGACAAATTACCTCCTGTGCCTCGATTCCTTCGTAAAACATAGTACCTACCTCAGCCTGCTTGTGAGTTTGAAATAAATAGAGGGAAAGCGCTTAGAACAGTTCCTGGCACGTAAGGACTATACTGAGTTTTAGGATTATTATTCTACCTTCCACAGAGCCCACAGCGAGGCCCACCCCCTCCCCAGTTCAGGCGGTGGCAGCCCCCTCCTTGACTCCGAAGAGGAGCGGCGAGGAGCGCGCACGCGCGGTGGGGCAGTCTTATAGGAAGCCCCGGCGGCCCGGCGGGTGGCCATCTTGGTAAAGGGCAGCGACGGCAGCTTCTTTACGTCATCAGCCTGCGCGACGTGCGGCCACCCGGCGGTTCAGGTCGCTTCGGGAGCGGTGGGTGGGGTAGGGCAGGGCGGGCGGCGGGCGCGGCCGGGGGGTGAGTGGTTGAGGGGCGTGATGGGCGAGGCGGCCGTGGCCGCAGGGCCTTGCCCGCTGCGCGAGGACAGCTTCACGCGCTTCTCGTCGCAGAGCAATGTGTACGGGCTGGCGGGCGGCGCTGGCGGGCGCGGGGAGCTGCTGGCCGCCACCCTTAAAGGCAAGGTGCTGGGCTTCCGCTACCAAGACCTCCGACAGAAAATCCGGCCCGTGGCCAAGGAGCTGCAGTTCAACTACATTCCCGGTGCGTGGCGCCGTGGGGTTGGGGGAGCGGTCCTCGAACTTGGTGTTGAGAAGGCTTCTGAAGCTCTGAGCTGGGTCACCGTGATGAGAGAATGGGATCAGGGTGACTGAAAGGGATCAAGGCTGATAATGAGGAGGCATCGGTGTCAGTGGTTAGGGTTCAGGATTCCTCAGACCCAGAGGTTAGGATCCCTCCTACCACAGTTATGATGATCGGGATTCACATGGAGCCAGAGATGATGGTAATTGCCATGGTCAGAGATTAGTGAGTCCTAGAGGTCAGGGGTCACTGTGATTGGGGATATAGGGGTCAGGAGTCTGCCTGACGTGAACTTTGTCCCCTGCCAGTGGACGCGGAGATTGTCTCCATCGACACCTTCAACAAGTCACCCCCAAAGCGGGGCCTGGTGGTGGGGATCACGTTCATCAAGGTATCCAGGCCCGCTCCACCTACCCATTCCCTCCTCCTCACGATCCCGCTGCGCCTGACCCAAATCCCTCTCCCTCTCGCTGCCCCTATTCTCCCCTGAGGCCAGTTTCCTACCTCAGGATTCAGGGGACAAGGGCAGCCCCTTCCTGAACATTTACTGCGACTACGAGCCTGGCTCTGAGTACAACCTTGACTCCATAGCCCGTAAGTGTGGCCTCGAGGGAAGGAGGGATGGGGAAGATGGGAGGGGGCACCTGTCAGGTCCCCGGTGCCCATCTGCATGTGCTCCCCTTACAGAGAGCTGCCTGAACCTGGAGCTTCAGTTCACTCCTTTCCAGCTGTGCCATGCAGAGTATGTAAGCTGCAGGTGTAATACTGTAGAGAGAGAGAGAGTGTGTGTGTGTGTGTGTGTGCACGCGCCCTTAGTGGGGAGGCTCTAGCAAACGAGGCAGCAAACCTGCCCATAGACAGTCAGACTCTAGTTTTGTTTTTTAGAGCATTGTGCTTTTAAAGTGGCTGTGGACTAGCCTCGGCCCTGAACTAGATAATCTGAGAGCTGATTGAGCACTTGCGTTCTAGACATCTAGAACTCTGAGGTTCTGATGTTCTAGATTTGGATCCTGCAAGATCCAGAGATGCTAAGTTTTCTAGAGCTGTAAGCTCTGAGATTCCAAGATTTAAAAATTCTGCAGTTTGGTAGTTCTGAGATTCTATAGTGATAAAGTCCTTCTCCTATCTCGTATTCTCATATTTCAAGGAGACAGAATACAGACCATCTAGAATGGGAGGTTCCTAGAATCCCAAAGTGTGAAAATTCCACTCTAGAGCTCTGAGTTCCATTCTAGAACACCAGTGGTCGAGCACAGTGATTGGCCAAGTTTTTCTGTTAGAACTACTTGGCTGCCAGACAAGTAGCAAGAAGACGGCCATTGACACTCTGTAAATAATTGGTGTAACTGTTTCAATAGAACTTTATTTACAGCAACAGGGGGGAAGTTGGATTTGGTCTGTAGGTCATAGTTTGCCAGCCTCTGGTCTAGCAGGTGAGAATTCTAGAAGCTGATGTTCTGGATTCTAGGATTTGGATGTTCTGCTATTTTATGAGTCCACATATCCATGGTGGCCATTTCTAGAAGTTCGAGTATTTCAAAGGAGATGGAAAGCAGAACTTCTGGAATACCGCAGTTCTAGATTAAAGAGGTCCTAGTGTTCTAGAACACTAGAGCCCCATGTTCCGTGCCTGCATCCACACCCAGAATGAGGATTCTAGCAGGTGAGGGCTCCAGAAACAGAAGGTTTCTGCGATTCTGAGGTTGGACAGTTCTACACATGGACTCTGCCACACTGGGGCTCTAGATTTGTCTGCTTTCAGGGTCCAGGTCGGGAATCAACTGGAGACAGTGTTTCTCCTGAGTGGGAATGACCCGGCCATTCATCTGTACAAGGAGGTGAGGCAGAGGGAGGCGCGGTGGGCAGGGCCCTGCCCCGGTCGCCATGGGCTGGTGCTGGGTGTGAGGCTGGCCTCGGTCTTGGTTCCCCCAGAACGAGGGGCTGCATCAGTTTGAAGAACAGCCTGTGGAAAACCTCTTCCCAGAACTCACGAACCTGACCAGTAGGTAAGAGAGTTCCTGGAAAGAGGCCCTTGGGGACTGGAGCAGGCGGCCTCAGAGAAATCAGGTAGTGGGAAAACGCTTAGGAACAGTGAGGATGGAGATGACCTCAGAGAAACTGGGCAGGGGAGGGGAGTTCAGCAAACTCGGGCCACGGATGTGACTTCGGAGAAGCTGGTCAACAGTGGTGATCACAGAGAAAACACAAAACAGACTCAGGGAAATCAGAGAACCTCAGAGAAATCAGACTCCCCAGTGGGTTCCCAGGGCTACGGGAAGGGGGTGGATGCTCCTGGGGGGGCAGAACATGGGACCAGTACCTGGTGACACCCTCAGCCCCGCTGTCCACCCGCCCGCCCACCAGCGTCCTCTGGCTTGACGTCCACAACCTCCCTGGCACGTCCCGGCGACTCTCCGCCCTCGGCTGTCAGAGTGGTTATGTCCGAGTTGCCCACGTGGACCAGCGAAGCCAAGGTGAGGTCCCAGGATGGGGGCCGGGAGCCAGGGGCTGGGGCCAGGGCCCTGAGTCCTCCCCCTCCCCACAGAGATCCTGCAGACATGGACGATCCTGCAGGATGGCCCCATCTCCCGAGTGATCGTGTTCAGCCTCTCGGCCCCTGAGGGTGAGCTCTGGTCCTGGGGTGGGGGGCAACTTCTGCACGCTCGGCTCCCCACACCCAGATTCATGCCCCTCTCCCAAAGTGTCCAACCCCCTGGCACCCGCCCCCTATCGCTCCCGGGCCCCCTCCCTCCCCTCTGTGCTCTCAGATTTCACTTCAGCGACTTGCCCCAGTGGTCTAACCTTAGACCCTCTCTGGAGTTGGACTTCTGTCTTTCCCTTGGCGGTCTAACCGTCAGCCGGCACACTGTGACTTCCTCTCATCCCCACTCTGGCCTCTTCACTCTGTCTCTTGTTGCGATCTAACCCTGAGGTCCCCCCCCACACCCCCCGACCCCAGGAACTCTGTGCACCCTCCTACTCGGGCTCCCCTCTTGCCCCACGTGTTGCTCTGTTCCTCTTCCCTGGCCTTCCCTGGTGGGTTCCCTTCGCCTGACCTCTGCAGGCTGCCTTCTGCCCCTCGGCTTGGTCTTCACTCCTCTCCCTCCCACTCTGGCCTCACACCTGCTCCTCCTCCCGGCGTCTCCCCTCACTCCGCGTTCTCTTGTGGTCTAACCTCAAAGCATCCCTCCCTGGCACAGCTTCGGGTCTTCGTCCTGTCGCGGAGCGGGGGTGTGAGGAGGAGCCTGGAGCCTGTCGCCTCAGGCCCTGCCCCCCTCGTGTCCCTTCTGCAGAGACCGTGGACAGGCCACAGCAGGAAGAGTACGGCGTGCTTGTAGCCAGCATGTTGGAGCCCGCAGTGGTGTATCGGTGAGGGGCCTCGGCAGGAAGTCCCCTTGGGGGAGGTCGTTCGGGCTGGGCAGCTCAAGGTGGTCGTGCCCCAGGGAGGGGAGTGTGAATGTCTGGAGCTTGTCGGGGCTACCTCAGTGCCTTGGGGTGGGAACCGAGATGCCCACTCCCCCTGGACAAGCGAGTTGGCAAATGCTTACCACCTGGCTCGGCGTGTGGCCGATCGATTTCTGGAGTGTCCCTACTCCCACCGCGGTAGATTTTGAGCCACCAATATGATGCCAGCCAGCTGGCAGAATTTCTGAAAACGTCCCAGTCTGCTCTCGGGAGCCAGAGCAAGCAGATGTGGCTCCCCTGCTGGGCAGCGCAGGTGTCCAAGCTGGGACCGAGCCCCCCCCACCCCCCGGCCCCACGGAGGCCGTGTGCGCGTCCAGACTGGAGGCAAAGTGGGGCCTCCATGTGAGCGTGAGATGGTCCCGCCTCCAGGGGACAGCGTGGGTGTCCCTACTGGGGAATAGCGGGTTGCCAGTCTGGGAGTGAGCGATTTGGGTTCCCCTTGGTGGATGTGGAGATGTCCAGGTTGGAGACGAGGGGGTCCGGGCGTCAGGAGGAACAGCATGGCTCAGACCTGGGAAGGGGAGCAGCATGGACACCCAGACCAGGCCTGCAGGCACTGTGGTATGACCTCGGTCTCCCCACCGTGTTCGGGGACCCTCAGGGACCTGCTGAGCCGGGGCCTCGAGGACCAGCTTCTCCTGCCCGGCAGTGACCAGTTTGACAGCGTCCTCTGTGGCCTGGTCACCGATGTGGACCTGGATGGGTGGCCCGAAGTCCTGGTGGCCACCTATGGGCAGGTGGGACCTGGGGAATGGGACCACCGCCGCCTGTCCCCTCCCACTGCCCCGCATCCCCATGTGACCCTTGCCCCCCCGCCCCCCCGCCCCCCCCCACCCCCCGCAGGAGCTGCTCTGTTACAAGTACTTCGGCCCGGAGTCCGGGCTCCCGGAGGCCGAGCGCGGATTCCGCCTGCTGTGGCGGCGAGGCTTCTCCAGCCCGCTGCTGGCCATGGCACACGTGGACCTGACTGGGGATGGGCTGCAGGAGCTCGCCGTGGTCTCCCTGAAGGGCGTGCACATCCTGCAGGTAGCCGGGCTTCCCGGGTTCGGTTCCCCTCGAGGCAGAGCCTGGGCTGGGGGCTTTGGCACACCTGTTCTGTTGAGGGCATGCTCTCCCCAGAAACACGGAAGGGGACAGGGAGAAGCCCCACGAGGACGTGCATTCAGGCACCACCCAGGCGCCCCCCTCCTCTGCCTTATTAGCCTATCCTTTGTTGTCAAGGTCTCACCTTTGTCCCCCCCGCCCCCCGTGCCCCCCGCCGCAGTGGTCTAACCTCAGCCTCACTCCCATACAATGTAGTGTCTCTGCCATGTTTCGGTCCTTCCCTGTCCCTTCTGAGTTCTAACCTCACACCCATACATTTGGGCCTAGGCTCTGTTCCTCCCACTGGAAATTCAATGAAGGGCATCCTCTTGGGTCTAACTTCACCCCATCACAGAGATCCATTCCCACCCCACATGCTGGTCTGCTCTCCAACCTCCTGCCGCAGCCGAGCTCCCGCGTGGTCCAACCTGCGCCCCTCCTGCCCTGTCTCAGCTGGGCCTCCTCTTGTTTCCCACAGCACAGCCTGGTCCAGGCGTCGGAGCTGGTCCTGACCCGGCTTCGGCATCAAGTACAGCAGAGGAGACATCAGTCGCAGAGGCCTGGGGACAGGGCTGGTTTGGGGCCCACTGAGACCTCGGCCTCCTGAGCTCCCACCCACTGCCCGCCCCGGGCCCAGGGGCAGTTCACTGGAGTAATCGCCTCTAGCCATTCATGGTGGGGAAGCCTCCTGAAGGAGGGGATGGTCTCCCCAGGCCCCCCAGGATGGTGGAGCTGGGAGTTCCTGCTCAGGCTCTGCCCCATTGTGCCCTGCAACTCTGGCTGACGCACCCCTGTCTCGTACCTCAGTGTCCCCGTTTGAAAATGGGATGATCTCACCCGACCCCCCCCTTCCACCCCCAGTGAGAATTGGTCAGCCAATGATTATTTATATGTCCAGAGGAAGCAGACTTTGACTTGTCTTCATTCTTTCATTCTGGGAAGTGTTTGCACCTGCTGTGTGCCAGGCTCGGTGTTGGGTGCTGGAATCGCCCAGAAGAATAGGAGAGAGGGGCATATGAGGAGAGAAAATCCAAGGTTAGACCTAGAAGCGGGACTGAGGTGAGATCATAGTGTAGACCTCAGAGAATAGAAATGAGGCCCTGCTATAAAGGCTGAAGTGAAACCAACGTGGAAGAGATTGTAGAAGCCAAGGAAAAGGACTGAGGTTAGACCCCAGTGGAGCGCTCTGGATCTGAGGTTAGACCCCAGTGGGGCGCCCTGGATCTGAGGTTGGACTCCAGTGTGGTGCCCTGGATCTGAGGTTAGACCCCAATGGGAAAAATACAGAAATTAAGCCTCAAAAGAAAGGATACAGGTGGGAAGGACTGCTGTGGGAAGCTGTAGTCAAATTGCCGCAGAGGGTGTGAAGCTAGCCCCGCCCCCCATATGAATAATGCTGAGGTTGGACCCCCGACAGAAATTACTGTGGTTAGACTTTGTGCCGAGGGCCAAGGTTAGACCCCAACAGAAAGCAACTGACTTTAGATCCCAGTGGGGCATACCGCGATGAGACCCAGGAGGGAGAGACCCAGGGTGTGCCATGCTGGAAAGGACCAAGGTTAGACCTGATTGAAAAGCCCAGGGGATCCAGTGACCAGGGAGTTTGAGACAGGGCTGGTTTCCCTGGCCCAAGGCTGGGCTGGCTGTAGGATTTGCTCCCTCTGGCAGCCCCGGCTAGGGCAAGGGAGAAGGAAGCAGAGGCCTGTATCTCCGGGACCAGTGGAGGGCAGGAACAGGGAGAACTGTCGCCCTCCCCCACCGCAGGCCAGAAATAGCGTCTCGGGCAGGGGGTTGGGGACTAATTCCCGAGCAGGATCCCCAGACTGTTGGGGAGGGTGGGCTTTTTCCTCCTTGGGGCAGGGTTTGGGTGGTACTCCTGCTTCCCAGCACAGAGGGGCAGACACCACAGTCATTCTGGCCATCCATCTACCTCCTACCAAGGAAGTCCACCCAACAGTCTGACCACCCACACTGACCGTGAAGACCAAGCCACCTGGTGGGTTTTTAGGAGGCAGGAGCCCACCAATCCTTGGCCACCCTTGTCAGCTCCTAGAATCCTGGGCCCAGGCGTGGGAAATTGCAGGGAGTTGAATCGCCTCCCTCCTCCTGGCAGCCTGCCCAAGGGTGTCCAGCCTGGACTGGCGATGGGCATGGACCATTGGCGCGGGTGGGGTCTCCTCCCTCCTGCTGCCCGCCTGCTGAGGCGGAGAGCTGCATCACCTGCCATCCTGGGTGGGAGTGGGACCCCGGCATGGGATTAGGTGAGTTTCGTCAGCAGTGGTGTGAGTCTGTGAAGCGTGTGCTCACGGGCGTGTATGTGCACCTGTGTGTCCACTTCAGGGCTCAGGATTTTGTATCTTTAGGACTCAGCTCCCCGCCTGGCCGTTTGCGGGTTCGCTGCCTGACTTCTCACTTGCTCCTCGGTCTGGGACAGCGCACAGTGGAGTGGTTAAGGCTGTGGAGCCCGAAGCCCCACTTGGCCACTCTGTGCCTCGATTTCCCCATCTGTAAAATGAGGCTAATAGCATTATCTCACAGGGTTATTAGAAGGGCTAGTTGTGTCAGCACCTGTCAGTCACTTACCAAAAAAAATTTCTAACATCGCCTGGCAGGTGGTAAGGGTGGTATGAATGGCAACTGTTGTTACTATTATTAATGGGTGCCTTTGTGGTTGTTTCTGGCTTGCTTGGCGAGGTTATGTCTGCAGGCACAGCATGTGAATTTGGATCTGACTGGTTAAACATTTTTGCCCTCCCTCTGGTTCTGTGAGCCTGTAACTATTTGTAGCTGTTCGTGCCTCTCTGGCCCTTGTATGGATCAGAGTGTGTGTGTGTTGGGGAGGGGGAAGGATGCCTCTGAATGACCCCCAAGCCCCCCCCAAAACACACACACACACACACACACACAAGCACCCTCCGCCTCTGTCCCTTGTCTGTGGTGCTGAACCTGAAAGGGTGGGTGGGAGGCTTGGGCTCCCCCCAACCTCCTCTCTCCAGGCCCCTCCCCAAGCCTCCCCCCGCCTCGCCGCAGCCTCCCCTCTCCCCGCCTCCTCCTCCTCCCCTCTGTCTCTGGCTCCTCCTCCTCCCTCCCAGCACTCTCCCCCGTCCCTCCTCCTCCCTCTCTCCTGACTCCCCCTCCCCCGGGTCCCTCCCCCCTCTTCCTCTCCTCCCTCTATCCCCTCTCCCTCCCCTCCTCCCTGGCTCTCCCTCTCAGTCTCCAGCTTCTCTCTCTCTCTCTCTCTCTCTCTGTCGGGTGGAGTCACCCACCATTGCCAGCCCAGTGCTAGGGGGACCTGCTCCAAGCTACAGCTGCAGGTAAGAGACCCTCCGTTGGGGGGGGAGGGGCGTGGAGGAAGGATGGTGTTGTCCCAGGCGGGTGGAGGGGGACATTTGAGGAGCCAGGAGCTGCTTTTCCCTGAGCTCGTTTATGGGGGTTGGGGGGCTGCATATCCCCGGTGGGGATACCCAGTCCCTTCTGTGGGTTGGGGGCACCACCAGCAGCCAACATCCTCAGCCCCTCCTGTGTTCCAGGGAGCATGGTGGGCTGAGGAGGGGGTGCCTCCTGGGCACTGACGGGGCGAGAACACCCCAGCCTGTCTGGGGCAGCCACCCTTCGCCTTCTCTCCCTCCGCCCCCGCCTTCCTGCGTCTGGGTCTCATCTTTCCGTCTCTCCACATCTCTCGGGGGTCCTGTCCTGCAGAGTCTGGCTGCCTCTCTTGAGTCCCTTTCCCTGTGTCCCTGTTTCTCAGTCCCTTACTCGCACCTCTGTCCCTCTGGTTTCCTCTGTGCATGGGTCTGTTCTGTGTCTTTTGGGGATTCTGTCTCTAAGTCCTTGGTTTCTTTCTCTCTGCCTTCCTCTTTCACCATCTGTGTGTGTGTGTGTCTCTGTCTCTCTCTCCCGTCTCTGCTCTCCTGTGTTTTTGTCTCTGTGGGTGTCTCCCTCTCTCTTCTCTGCCCCTCTCCCTCCTTCTCTCCATCTCTGTAGGTATGTGGTCTCTGTTTCTCTGTCTCTCTCTTCCCTGGTAGTGGGTTAACTCTCCTCCTACACACCTTCGTCCCGCCCCTGGCAAGGGGGAGACCTGGAGGAAGAAGATTACCCCCACTCCACAGAGTGGGCTCCCCCAGAAGGTGCGGAGTCCCCCAAACTCCTCTCCCTTCTTCAGCTGAGCTCCCGCCCATCCTCCCGGCCGGCTTGTGCCCCATCCCTCCCCACCCCCCCCCCCCAGGACAGAGCTCCTCTCCTCTCCCCTGCCTTGTATCTGGCATTCTGAAGCCAGTCCTTCTTGCAGTCTAGCCTATATACCCTTTGTGGTGGACACTGCACCAGTCCCCCGATCTTGCCTCCCCATTCCTCTTCATACAGACTGGGCCGGTCCTTCCTGCAGTCTGACTTCTGTACCTCTTTTGCCATTTGTGCATTGCTTGCTTCACTCGTCCGTTCCTTTGACAGTTACTGAGCACCTTTCCTACTCCAGGCACAGCACTAAGGTACTGGGTGAGTCAGGCCAGTCCTTTCTGCAGCCTCACCTCCATCCCTCTCATGGCATACCAGCCTCAGAACTGTCTCTCAGTGGAGGTGACTCTCCAAAGCTACTTCCCCATCCCTTGGGGGCTCTGAGAGGGCCCCTCTGAGTCTGGAGGTCCCTGGCCAGTGCATCTTCTTCTTTCCTGGGGGAAGGGGGCCCCAGAGAAGCTGGGCGAGAGTGAGTGACCAGGGGAGAGGTGTGGGCCTAGCCTGTAGCCCAGGCTGTGATGGGGTGAGGTCCTCAAGTATCCATGTGGGGCCCAGCTGGATTTGGAAGAGCACCAGCTTAGCAGTCCTATGCCTTGAGTTTCCATCCTCCCCTGCCCCTGATTTGAAGCTACTTGACCTGGCCATGCTCTTTTCCCCTCCAGACCTCAATTTACCCATCAGGGTGTCATAGCCCTGAGCACTGAGACTACGTGTGACCCCCAGGCTGGGACGTGGTGCTGGGAGAGCCTGGCTCACCCCTGGAGCAGTAAGTGGGTGTGTTTAGAAGCCTGTGTCCCCACCTCAGAATCCCTCCGAGGGGTGGCGGGCAACCCTTGCCCCCACCAGAGCACAACCAGGAACCACCACCTCCCTTGCCAATGTGAGGGACGTGAGGGAGGGAGGAGGTCCCACCTGGCATACCGGACTGGACCCCCCCCCCCCCTTATGCTTGCAGTCTCACTCTAGGAAGGAGGTCTCCGAGCCCCTGGGAGGCGCGGGAGGCGGACCCGGGGTGCTCACCACTGACCAGCTGGTCACCTGCCCACGAGGGTGGGGAGAGATGCAGAGATGCCACCATCTGCCCTCCAGACTCCTACCCTGGCCTCAACCTGATCCTTTTGCCCCTGGATTCTAAATCCAGCTTAGGTTTCAGGGCTGCTGGTGAATGGAGAAGGCATAGGCAGGCGCCTCCAGCAGAGGAAGCCCAGCTGGCCCGGCGGCAGGGCTCAGAGCTCTTGGTCCTTCGTTTCACAAATATTTATCTAGTGCTTTCTCTCCCTGATCCCTCCTCCCCTTAAGGCCTCAGTGAGAGAAAACCAGGTTTTTCAGGAAAAGAGATTGAGCCAGGCTGCTTTGCCCAGCCCCTGGGCAAGGAGGGCAGGCGTGAGAACACCCATTGGCAGACTCTGGTCTCCCTTGAGGACCGCAGCAGGAGGGACAGGTGGTTAGACTTGCAGGGCAATTTCCAGGCCATGGCCCTCCCATGACAGAGGGAGTTTGATGCTTGAGATGAATTCTTGACTCCCAGGTGGCCCTTGTTACTCCAGAAAGCCTGGGAGAAGGGAGGGAGAAGAGAGCATGAGTCTTTGCTTTGGATCCTGGTGGGTTTGTAATTATGCCTAAGTTGTTGCTAATTAGGGGGCTGCTAATTAGATGTATCATTAGGGGCCTTGCTAAGGGGGCTAATTGTGCAGTGGCCCTTTAAGAATCCCCCTCTCCCCGCCCACACACACACACTCACACACACACTCCTCAGGGAAGTTCTGCCAACATTCTGCCTCCCTCCCCCAGAGGAGCCAGCTCCCTGCCCGTGAGTACGTGGGCGTGTTTTGGGGGCAGGCTGTGGGTTAGACTCAGAGAAGAACTTTCGGACAGAAATGCAAGTTACCGGGAGAACTGAGGCAAGACAGCGATCAGGGAGGTGCAGGCTCAGAGGGCCCCTCCTTCTTCTGTCAGTCCCCCCCCTTTTTTTTTATAGGCTACTGGGTTACCAAGGCAATGCAAGAGTCGGGCAGGGGAACTGGGAGTTTGGGCCACTCTTGGAGAGAGAAATGGAGCCAGAGTTGGTGCTGGAAGCTTTGAACGAGTTTTTGACCTCTGAGCCTTGGCCCTCTCCATCAAGGAACGGGTTAGGGACTCCCCATAGTGGGGTGGCGTCGTTTTGAATGGAGAGCTCAGGAAGGTGATGTCTGAGTGGAGAACTGGAGAAGAGAGGGTGAATCAGTGGGGATGAGTGACCCAGGAAGGGGGAACAACAGGGGCAAAGGCCCTGAGGCAAGAACTTGTCTAGTATGTGAGGAACCTCGAGGTGGCTGGGGCCAAGCAAGCAAGGGGGAGGAGATGAAGCCAGAGAGGGAACGAGGGGGGCAGATCATGTGAGACCTTATGAGCCAGGGCGAGGGCTGTGGTACTCTGGCTGAGACTGAGTCGGGAGCCATGGAGGGTTCTGAGCAGAGGAAGGATGTGAACTGACTTGGGTTTTGGGTTTTTTTTTTTTTAAGATTTCATTTATTTATTTGAGAGAGGGAGAGCATGAGCTGGGGGGAAGGGCAGTGGGAGAGGGAGAAGCAGACTCCTCGCTGACCACAGAGCCTGACACGGGGCTCAATCCCAGGACCCCGAGATCGTGACCTGAGCTGAAGGCAGACACCCCACCAACTGAGCCACCCAGGCGCCCCTGGTTTGCATTTTTAAAGGGAACTGAGGCAAGACACAGAGATAGCCTCTCAAACCCAGAATCAGAGGCTGGAGAAGTATTGAAACCGTAGAGACCCCAGAACCCACAAATGAGACCAAAAGCCCAACACGGGGCCTCGTCATAGCTGCTGAAGACCCGGGCACCTCACAGAGACATAGTGGGTACTGGAGAGAGACACCTGCCGCCATTGCAGGGAAAGATGTGAGTGGGAGACCCTACAGCAGCCCCTTCCCAGCCCCGCTCAGACAGACATCCCAGACCCCAAGCAGGAGCCCTCTGAGGGTCAATTTGGAAACCATTAGACTTACCTAATGAATTGATGGCTTCCAGCCCCTCGCCTCACCCGCTAAATTATTCAGTCCGTGTTCTTTGGGGCCTGGCTTCATTCCTCCCTCGTCTGTGGGATTCGTCTGTGTGGCTGGGTGGGTCAGCAGCCCGTTCCCTTTCCAGGGCCCTATAACATTCCTCAGTGTGAGTGCTCCGTGCTGGGCTTCTCCATTTACTGCTGAGAGGCATCTGGGTTGTTTCAAGACGGGAGCTGTTAGACATCCTCGGATGTGTCTTTTGGCAGACACACGACCAATGGCTCCCGGGTGCACGTGTACCTGGGAGGGGGACGGCTGAGTCCTAGGACACGGGATGTTCATCTCTAGTTCCCCAAGGTGGTGAGGGCAACGTGTACTCTCCTCTGTCTTTATCTTTCTCTCTTAGTCTCTGTCTGGCCCTCTCTGTCTCTCTGCATCTCCCTCTGCCCCCATCCTCCTCCTATCAGCCCTCTGCTTGTCCCCCATGCTCTACCCCCAAGAAGCCTCGGCTCCTGGGCGAATGGGAGGGGTCCGTGCCCCTCACCCACACTTCTTCCTCCTCCCCCACAGGACCCGACATCCTCCATGGCTCCCCTGGCCTTAGTGGGGTTTGCACTCCTCCTGGGGACGCCCCCATGCTCAGGGGCAGCTACCCCAACCCCCTCCCTGCCGCCTCCCCCCGCCAATGACAGTGATACCAGCTCAGGGGGCTGCCAGGGCTCAAACCGCTGTCAGCCGGGGGTCCTGCTGCCCGTTTGGGAGCCCGATGACCCGTCGCTGGGTGACAAGGCGGCGCGAGCTGTGGTCTACTTCGTGGCCATGGTTTACATGTTCCTGGGCGTGTCCATCATTGCCGACCGCTTCATGGCGTCCATCGAGGTCATCACGTCAAAGGAGAAGGAGATCACCATCACCAAGGCCAACGGTGAGACCAGCGTGGGCACCGTCCGCATCTGGAACGAGACGGTGTCCAACCTCACACTCATGGCCCTGGGCTCCTCAGCCCCTGAGATCCTGCTGTCTGTCATCGAGGTCTGCGGTCACAACTTCCAGGCGGGCGAGCTGGGCCCGGGCACCATCGTGGGCAGTGCTGCCTTCAACATGTTTGTGGTCATTGCTGTGTGCATCTACGTCATCCCAGCCGGTGAGAGCCGCAAGATCAAGCACTTGAGAGTCTTCTTCGTCACTGCGTCTTGGAGTATCTTCGCCTACGTCTGGCTTTATCTCATCCTTGCCGTCTTTTCCCCGGGTGTGGTCCAGGTGAGCAAGGACCCGTGGACACCTCCTTGGTGCATGTATGTCTGCAAAATCCAGAGGGGTAACGCCCTGGGCTTGGAGACTCGATTCATGTATTTGCAGAAATGCATGCTTACATCTGGGAGGGCCAGGTATGGTTGTGCAGGTCACACACTGCACAAGGGCATTGGGCTGGAGAAGGCAATTTGGGGCTGGAGTCCATTTGAGTGTGCCCAAGCCATGTCTGGATGGCTCTGCAGGTCCTGGAAAGGGCTCATCCGCCCAGAGGGGGGTGACATTTTGCAATATATCCATCCAGAAGGGGCCCCTTTTAGCTCTCACAATGGTGCCGTATGTATTAACAGAGTCCTTGTGATCTGTGTAATGCATACCACATGCAGTTCATGGTCTAGCCAGGTATTTGCCAGGTATGTTCACATGTTTTCTTCCACTCCCTGTCTTGCATAATTTATTCCCACTTTTATAATAAGACCGCCTTCATTTGCATAATTCATGCCACAGTTGCATAATCCAACCTTGTGTTTTCTGACAGGGCTAATCAACTTGGGTAACTTGGCACAATTTGCATAATGTATCCATGGGCCTGCATAGACGTAGGCCCACATCTGGTAAACTCTGTATTTGCCAGATATGCAATTGTGATTTGCATAATTCATTATTCATAATTGATTTCTGAGGGTAGGATAATTTATCACTGTACTGTAATTGATATGCAATCCAATCCAATGTAGGTATAAGCCCAAGTCCACTGCAAAGGCCACTTTGCATAATTTATTCCAACAGCGAGACAAAATTTAGCCCCACTGCTCCATAATTTACACCCACGTCCCCATAATCATTTGCCTCTCATTTGTCCAGTGTCTTAACCACATTCTGCTTAGTCTTCCTTTAAAACATATGCCTAATTCATTTCCCACAACCCCATGACTGCCATCTACTTTTGCATAATTTATTTATGGGCCTGGCCTAATTTGTTCACACACATGCATAATTTATTTGAGGCTACCCAGAATTCCTTCACACATGTGTATAATCTCTCCGTGCGTATCTGTCAGGTCCTGCCAATTTTAGTCTCTTTCCAGGAAGGAGCTGAAGTTAGAAGTATAAAAATTCTTTGCAGGTGATATAAAAGCAGACGGGAGGGACCAGAAACTGCAGGTGAGCTAAGGGAGAGATGGTAGCACCAGGAGACAGGGATGAGAGAGGGAGAGAGATCTTTACCGCAACTGACTAACGACTATAATGCCGAGTCTCCTGGCTGCCATGGTGAAAAATACAGAAGAAACTGTCACACGGTTCTCACGCGCTATTAAAAAGGATGGTACACTGACTTAGGTTTTCAAAGTGCTCTTTGATGAGGATTTATAGCAAAACTATGAAGAGAATTTTAGACACCATGAGTGACAGGTGGGTAAGGATGGGGGTGGAGGAGAGAGATTCCCCCTGAGAAGGAGCCAGGCTCAGACTCAGAAAACAGGGTAGAAAATGTCACAGTTCTGGGTGGAGAAGTCACCATGGGGTATCCATTCGGGAGTAATGTGGAAGCCAGAATTATGAGACACTTTCATGAAGTAAGGGAGGGAACTGGCATGAGACCAAGATGGCGCCACTTCCTCCTCAACACAGCGAACTGGGGCAGTGAGATGGGTCTGGCTCTGGATTTTCTCCCGGAGGTGCTGTGTGACCTCAGACAAAGCCCAGACCCTCTCTGGGCCTCAGTTTTCATATCTGAACCATGGAAGGGGTTAGACCGGGCCCTTGGTTCTTGACCCTTCATACCCATGCTCCCTTTTTCTAGCAAATGCTTTGTTACATCCCTTTACTCTGATGTGAAATTCTTAGATGATAGGAGAGAGGCCTTCTACCCCAGTAGTCTGGTGGGTGGATCCTGGACCCAGGCACGCTGGGTTCAGACCCCACTTCTGCTGCTTCCTAGCTCTTCTTTGGACAAGTTCCTCACCTTGTCAGTGCCTCAGTTTCCTCACCTGTCACCTGGACATCGTCATAGCACTGACTCCAGAGGGCGGTGTGAGGATCAAATAAATTACACATGGAAGGGCTCAGAACAGCAAGCCTGGAACAGAGTAAATGTGAGCGATTCCTCCCATTAATGAACTTGCCTGTGCTGTTGGCTTTCCGAAAGTCCGTATAGTGGCTGAACTGTGATATAAAAGAAAGTAATCTCTGATAGAACAATGTGCATTTCCACATGTAAATGCTTCAGCATGGCTACATTAAAAGTCATGGTGTGGGAACCAGATACCAGCACCATCTTTTACTGAACAAGTTTGGGTTTAAGAGAAAGAAAAAGATCAGAAAACATTCCATGCACGGAGTTGAGCAGAGGAGTGGGTAGCTACAAGATTAAAAATAAGCGTATTCAGCATATATTAAAGCATCAGGAAAATACTTCATATACATGTAACAGAGCTGAGTTCCAGACCGCAATTATTAGAAAAGCAGGTGTTTCGCCACCGCGAGTGTCCAGAGGGAGGTTCTGAGCTCAGGCAGGACATGGGACAATTCTGTATTGTGTGGGACTGCCCCATGAGTCGCTGGACCAGATCTCGCACCCCAATCATGGTGGCAGCCCATAAAGGACCCTAATTTGGAGACACCCCCCCCCTTGGGGGTGTTCCTGTCCACTGAAGCTGTCTTACTTCCCTCCCAGGGTGAGCAAGTCCATCCATATGCCCATTCGCAGTGGGTGCCCTGGAAGGAAGATGTGAGTCTCCTAGAATCGCCTTTTATTTACCTGCGGGAGAAAACCAAATCTTAGGGGTTCGAGGCTGTCTTCTGATTACAGGAGAATCCCCTGCAATATACACAGTGGCCAGCGCAATGAACACAAGGCCAAGAGTTCATTTTACAGCTCGTGTAGAAAATTCGGCTTCTTTTGACAGACCTGCCTGGTGGCTTTGTGAGGCTCTGTTTCCAAGTCCTGCCCTTCTCTCTGAGCTGTCAGTAAACACAGCGACAAGGGGTTGTGGGGATTGGATCTGAAAAGATATTGTCCCTTCCGGGCCCATTTTAAAGACACCTCTGGGGGCCATCTGGTGGTAAATAATCTTTCATCGTTTCTTCCTTATCTTTAATAAGAAAGGTAACTGCTTGCAGACCGAGTCCTGGGCCTCAATGAGTGCTAATGTTAATTTCACATTTTGAGTATTTTCCATGTGTCAGGAACTGACAGTGCTAAGTGTTAGGGGTACATAAGCTCATTCAGTCTTGGGGACACCCCCATTTTACAGGCAAGAGGCTGAGCCAGACCTCCCTCTTCTAGAACCAGGATCTGAACTCAGCCTTGCCTTGTCTCTCTGGGGAGGTAGCATGTAAACATGGGAACTTGCTGCGAGAGGCTGTGACAGGAGCCAAAGTTGTGCCTCTTGTAGAGTCAAAGTCTCTTCCCTAAGGGCCAAACAGATTCTAAGGAAGGAGAGTCTGGCAAAGGCTGTAGTCACTGGTCAGGGGGAGGGAGGTGGGGGAGGGGAGGGCGGAGGGAGGGGGGGTGGGGAATCAGGGAGCTTTAGGAAGAGGTTGAGCAGAGAGCGGGCCCTGGGTGATGGGTGGGGTTTGGGCAAGTCGCCGCGTCCCAGGTGAGGAGGGGTGGAGGGGAAAAGGAGCAGGGAGAAAAAGATGGAGGGAGAGGCAGGAAGGGACACAGGCTCTGCCCCTTGAGGGGGGCTGAGACCACGGGGTGGGGACCTGTCTGTCCCCTAGTGGCGGCTGAGGGTGTTTGGGTTCCTGGCACTGGGTTAGGTGAGCATGGTTCTCAGCGTGATGAAAGGTGGATGGATGCATGCATGCATGCATCAGGAGACCGGGAAAGAGGCGGAGGGAGAGAAACTGCGAAGAATCTCACAAGGGAGAGAGATGGGCATCTACAAAAGATACACAAGGAGAACAAGGAGACAGAGGTAACAAGACAGGAAGAAAGATTCAAAAACCGACCGACACCAAATGGGACGGAGGCGGGGAGACAGACAACGACCTAGACAGAGAGATGGGGAGAGGCAGAGACAAGCCGACACCAGAGGGAAGTAGAGAGGGCACGAGGCGGGGCAGGGACCGAGATGCGGGGAGATGCGGGACGGGGGGCGGAGGGGGCGCGCGGCCACCGCGGGACCCCAGCGCCGGGCGGGAGAGACGCGGGGGCGGCCGGACGGCGGGGCGGCGAGCGCGCCCCCTGGCGGCGCGGCGGTCCTGACCCGCGCGGCCGCCCGCAGGTGTGGGAGGCGCTGCTGACCCTCGTCTTCTTCCCGGTGTGCGTGGTGTTCGCCTGGATGGCCGACAAGCGGCTGCTCTTCTACAAGTACGTGTACAAGCGCTACCGCACCGACCCGCGCAGCGGCATCATCATCGGCGCCGAGGGCGACCCCCCCAAGAGCATCGAGCTGGACGGCACGTTCGTGGGCTCCGAGGTGCCGGGCGAGGTGGGCGGCCTGGGCCCGAGCCCCGCCGAGGCCCGCGAGCTGGACGCCAGCCGCCGCGAGGTCATCCAGATCCTCAAGGACCTCAAGCAGAAGCACCCGGACAAGGACCTGGAGCAGCTGGTGGGCATCGCCAACTACTACGCGCTGCTGCACCAGCAGAAGAGCCGCGCCTTCTACCGCATCCAGGCCACGCGGCTGATGACGGGCGCGGGCAACGTGCTGCGGCGACACGCGGTGGACGCGTCGCGCAGGGCCTCCCCCGCCGAGGGCCCCGGCGAGGACGAGGACGACGGCGCCAGCCGCATCTTCTTCGAGCCCAGCCTCTACCACTGCCTGGAGAACTGTGGCTCGGTGCTGCTGTCGGTCACCTGCCAGGGCGGGGAGGGCAACAGCACCTTCTACGTGGACTACCGCACCGAGGACGGCTCCGCCAAGGCCGGCTCCGACTATGAGTACAGGTGGGTTGGCCGTTCGCAGCGCGGAGGCGCCGCGGTCCCGCGGCCTCCGCGGCCTCCGCGGCCTCCACGCTCGGGGGGCTGCCTCCAGCGGCCGGCCGGCCTTACCTTGCCGTGCGCGGACCTGCGGCATTCATTCATTGTCCACTCATTCATTCACCGTCCAGAGCCTTCTTTGTACCGCACACTCTTCTAGCATTTGCAGGTGGAACCCGAGCGAAGCGCAGTCACCAACACTCTCTCCCGTCCTCTGCTTTAATTTCTTCACAGCTGACATTTTTCTGTCTATTGCCAGATAGCACGGCTGTCCCGGCTCCCATGTGTATGATCTACCTGTGGGTTTTAGTGCTTCACACCACCCTGTGTTAATTATTACAGCTGCATTATGTGTATGTAGCTTTACCTGCTAGGACGAGTACCCTCCCCCCCCCACCCCCACACACACCATTACTAAAGTAAAAGTGTTTGTTGAGCACCTACTGTATACCTGGGAGTATATCATGGTGAACAAGACAGCTAAGGTCCCTACCCTCAAGTTGCAATAAGGTTATGAACTATTAAATAGATAAAAATGTCAGGTGATGGTAAGTGCTATGTGAGAAAATTAAATGGGATAAGAGGGGAGAGGCAGTACCCAAATTATCCCCAGGTCTTCGGTGGCACCATAAAGAAGCCTCCCTCCCACCTTTGCACCCTCCTGTGTCTCCCTGCCCCCTGTCTCTCTCCTTCCCCCTTTTTTTTTTAAAGATTTTATTTATTTATTTGAGAGAGCGAGAATGAGAGAGAGTACATGAGAGCGGGGAGGGTCAGAGGGAGAAGCAGGCTCCTCGCCGAGCAGGGAGCCCGATGTGGGACTCGATCCCGGGACTCCAGGATCATGACCTGAGCCAAAGGCAGTCGCTTAACCGACTGAGCCACCCAGGCGCCCCTCTCCTTCCCCCTTTTTGAGCAGACCTGTGATCTTCCCTCCTTCAGCAATTCCTACTGAGCACCTACTATGTGTTGGGTACTATCTTTAGAACACAGAACAGTAGGGGCGCCTGGGTGGCTCAGTGGGTTAAGCCTGGGACTCTTGATTTTGGCTCAGGTCATGATTTCAGGGTCGTGAGATCGAGCCCCATCCGGCTGGGCACTGGATGTGGAGCCTGCTTAAGATTCTCCCTCTCCCTCTCCTTCTGCTCCCCTAAAAAAAAGGAACACAGAACAGTAAACAAGATAACTTTATCCTCGTGTGACCCACAAAATTCTTCATCTGTTTGTAGTTCTTCTGTCCATACCACACTCTTTCAAGAATGATAGCTTTACAGTGTAGTTTGTTGACTGATGTGTAGTCTGTCATAGTTCCCTATAATAATACCAACATTTCTCACTGGTTTGCTGTGTGCCAGAAACAGATCTGGGCCACGAAGACAGGCAGTGAACGAAATACATCAAGTCTCTGCCCAAATGCAGCTGACATTCTCATGGGAAAGATGGGCCACTGGGGAGTAGACACTGAAGACAGAAAAATGTCAGCTGTGAAGAAATTAAAGCAGAGGACGGGAGAGAGTGTTGGTGACTGAGCTTCTCTCGGGTTCCACCTGCCAAGCAGTCTGCCATGCCTCCCTTTCATCCTCCTTCCAGAGTAAAGCTGAGGTGGACCTGGTCGCAGATCTTTGGTTCTGCTCCTGCAGCAGCCAGTCTCTTGTCCCTTTAACTCTTCTCTTTCTGGGTCTGAGTTTCTGGGTTTCACAGATCTTCAGCTCCACCACTGTGCCCCAGCAAAGACCATCAATAGCCCAGCCTCCCCTGCCTCTGTCGATCACATCTTCCTATCTTTCTACTGCTTTGGGCATTTGTAGGTCATTCTCTCCATCTCGGGTCCATCCAAGATCCTTTGATCTGCCCATCTCCATTCATTTCTCCTACCCTCCCACCCACACCCTCCCTGCACTCTGCTTCTCCTGAGTGGGGCTCAGGATCTTTGTTCTGTCATCCTGTAGTGTGGGATCTCTTTGGTCATCCATGACCAACCCCCTCCCTCCTCTCCCTACCATCCCACATCTCCCAGCCTCCTTCAACTGAAGAAAAGGCATTCACCATACTGGGGCCTGTTGTCACTCAACCTCTTCACCCTTCCTCTCCTACCCACACCCCTAGTCTGCAACTTCCCCCACCAAAGGTTTTGCAAAAGGAAGTGAGGACGGGTGTCACCTGCTGGGATCAGAGGCGCCTTTCTCACCTGCAAATGACCTCAGTACTGAGATGTCTGAAGTGCAGGAGTATATGCTGCTCAGTGATGGAACCAAAGAGCTAGGGAAAGTTGACACCTTCCTCCTGTCCCTGCTCTCCTATCCCAGGTGACAGTCACAGGCCTGGCATCACTTATCAATGCAGCTTAGGTCCAGAACTGGGAGGGAGGACACCTGGGTTCCAGTCCAAGTTTAGCCCCGGACCCTGCAAGTTCTTAAGCAAGTTCCTGCTTCAGTGTGGGCAATCAGGGATGTCACGTACAGTTATCGAGGTTGTGCACTGCATGAGAGCACCACATCTAAGAAAGCTCTGTTCACATAGTAGACATTGTAGATTTGTATGTCTATTATGACAGTGTCCTGATTCATGGAAATAGTGTCTTGAAGAAGGGAAGCCATTTTCTGATTTGCCCACAGGTATCATATGGATTAGGGTGATCCATGGGCCTCAGTTTCCCCAAATTAAATATGACCTCCAAAGCACTGAAAGAGCACAGCTGTTCCAAGATTCTGAGTTTTAACCTCTGGAATCCTAACATGCTAAGGGTCTAAAGTTCCAGGATTCCTACATTTGGGTATTCTAATCCGCACCCCAACCAGTCTCCAATTTGCTGGTTCTAAGATTTTCATCTTCTCAGAGTTTGTGCATCCAGTGCTGAAACACAAGTCCATCTTCTATATTTCTATCATACCTGGTTTCTAAAATCCCCACGTTCTTTTTCTTCCCAACGTTTTCTTTTGAAAAAATTCACGCCCACAGAAGGGCGGCAGAAATGGTTTGGTGAACCCTCATGTAACCTTTGCCCAGAGTTACCGATTGTTCATTTTCTGTCCTGTTTGCATTCACTCACTCTCCCTAATATATACTAGTATTAATCATTGTGGCGCAAGATGGGAGCGAGTTGCGGACAGCATGACCACTCACCCATAAATACTTGAGTGTGCATCTGCTAAGATTTATGACACCCCCCTCCTACGGTCACAATCCAACTGCCACACTCAGGAAATGTAATACTGAATCAATATTATAACCCAGTCTGCCGTCCCTGTTTGCATTTTCCCCCGGTCATCCCTGTAACATCCTTGTGACTGTGTTTTCACCACCCCCCCTTTTCCAATCCAGTCCAGACCCAAATGTTGCATATGGTTGTGATGTCTCTTTAGAGTTCTTTGGTCTGGATCAATCCCTCCACTTCTCTATGGCTTTTGTGACCCTGACACTTTTGAAGATAGGGCAGTTAGTAGAACAATCCTCAATTTGGGTTTATCAGATGTGTCCTCATGATTAGATTCAGGTGATGCACTTTTGGCCAGAACTCGTGCAAGTGATGCAGTCCTCCTCGGTGCATATTATACCAGGAGGCCCATGACACCTACCTTTTCTACTACTAGTGATGCCCACTTTAACCATTTGGTAAAGATGGTGCTAAAATCCCCACTTAAGCTTACATTTCTAACATCCCATGACTTTAGGATTCTAAGATTCTAATCTTTTTTTTAAAAGATTTTATTCATTTATTTGAGAAAGAGAGAGAGCGGTGGGAGGAGCAGAGGGAGGGGACAAGCAGACTCTGCGCTGAGCGAGGACCCCGACGTGGGACTCGATCTCACGGCCCTGAGATCGTGACCTGAGCTGAAACCAAGAGTCAGACACTTAACCCACTGAGCCACACAGGCATCCCTAAGATTCTAATCTTAATATACAAATATCACTAGCTAAATTTTGTTGAGTGCTTCCCTTGCCTTATAACTCGATCCTTATAATGAGGTAGACATTGTTATTAGCTCCACTTTACAGATGAGGAACCTGAGGTTCAGAGGGCTGCAAATCCTACCACCCCAGATCAGAAAGCCAGCACATCGGCCCGACCAGGCTCGGAGCAGGTGGGCTCCCTGGGCTGGGTGCCTCAGCCACCATGGACAGCGTCTCCTGAGCAGAAGGCTGCAGCCACAGGGAGCCCCTTACCTGTCTACTCCAGGCTTGTCATCTGGTTCTACCTCTTTGCCAGAACCTCGGGGTCCCTCTGCCTCCCCCCATCCCCCAGAGCTGGACTTCTTTCAGAGAAGTGAAGCCCAGGACCTCTTTCTTATGAAAATGATCGCAGTAATGATAGAGAACACTCATGGATCATATAGCACCTTTCAGAAATGGTGCCAGCGGTGCATGCTGGGATGGGTTGGGAGGGGCAATTATAGATTTTCAAGGTGCATTTACATCCCAGAGTCATTCTGATGCCTACAGGCCTGCCAGGAACCCACTAATTCCCTGTCCCCTCAAAGTTTCTGATTACTCTGATGTCATCATCTCATTTCTTCCCCTGCCCCATTATAGAGCATCTCACATATGTTCAGAGACTTACACAACTGATGCTCATTTAGACCTAAGCCAGCTTATATCCTTCCCCTCCTCAGAGGCCTCCCATGCTTCCCACCCCACTTGGGAGTAAGCACCAATGTCCCTTCTCGGGTCCCTGACTTCTGCCCTGTTCCGTCTGTGATGTCATCTCCCTCATCGCCCTCCCCCCCCCTTGCTCCCTCCACTGGAGCCACACTAGCCTCCTCAAATACTCCAAGCTGGTCCTGCCTCAGGACATTTGCACTGGCTGTTCCCTTTGCCAGGGATACTTTTCCTCAGATATTCTCTACATGGTTCCCTCCCTCACCTCCCTCAAGTCTCTGCTCAAATATCACCTCAGGAAAAATTTCCCTGACATCCTAACACAACACCTTCTCACTCCCTAACCGCCTTCCTCTGTTTTCCTCTATTTTTTCTTTAAAGATTTTATTTATTTGACAGAGAGACAGCCAGAGAGGGAACACAAGCAGGGAGAGTGGGAGAGGGAGAAGCAGACTTCCCGCCGAGCAGGGAGCCCGACGCGGGGCTTAATCCCAGAACACGGGGCTCGATCCCAGAACCCTGGATCACAACCCAAGCCAAAGGCAGATGCTTAACGACTGAGCCACCCAGGCACCCCTTCTCTATTTTTCTCCATAGCACCATCACCACCTGACATTTTATTATGTTTGTTGTTTATCCATCTCTTGCACTAGAACAGAAGCTCCACCAGGGTAGGGATTTTTCTCTGATCTGTTGGTTGTTTTTTTTTTTTAAGATTTTATTTATTTGAGAGACAGAGCATGAGCAGAGGGGGAGGAGCAGAGGAAGAGGGAGAAGCAGACTCCCCGATAAGCAGGGAGCCCGATGCGGGACTCGATCCCAGGACCCTGAAATCATGACCTGAGCCAAAGGCAGACGCTTAACAACTGAGCCACCCAAGTGCCCCTCTGATCTGGTTTTGCTGCCATTTCCCCAACACTAAGAACAGTGCCTGGCACACAGCAGGTGCTCAGTAAATATTTGTTGAATGAATGAACAGTAATTATTAAATGTGTAATTGTCACCACGATATGGCTCTCCCACGGGGCTGTGAGTGCGGTGAGCCCTGTGAAGACAAGGCCTCTTCACTGCTCTTTTCCCAGCACCACCCAGAACAGGGCACAGAGAAGGTGCTCAGGGAGGATTTGTTGAATGAATGAATGAATGACACCAAGTTAAGGAGTGTGGATGTTCTCTTGTGGGTACCCAGGAAGACTCAAGGGTTTTCATCAGAAGTGTGAAAAGGTCAGCTCTGGGCCCCACATCCCTGCTACTCCCACGTGTGGTCCCTGTACCCTATGGGAGAATCCACATCCTGTGGGAGCAACTTAGAAATGCAGTCTTGAAACCCGGAGCCACTGAACCAGAATCTGCATTTTAGCAAGATCTCCCAGGTGATTCGTGTGCACATTAAGGTTTGAGAGGTGTGGCTGTGGAACACTGCAGGCTGTCTCCACCCTGGGATTTTGCATGCGCTGTTCCCTCTGCCTGGAGCACTCCTGTCCACTAGAAACTCCCCCAGGAAGCCGGCGCTGATCTCATCTTCATCATTATCTATTTAATGCTGGCGCTCCTAATCCTCATGGGCTCCACGAAGGAGGGACTACCTCGGTCTTGTTCCCCTTTTGCATCCCCTACCCTCCCCCCTAGGAAGCCCACCCTAATCCATCCTCAGTATTATTTGTTTAATGCCTGCCCACCCTCATACTTGGGAGTTTTCGGTGGCGCCTTTCCCTCCTCCAGGAAGCCTGCCCTGACTCCCCTCCTTCCCAGAGCCGCTGACCCACCTTCACCGCTTTCTTCCCCTCCCGCCACAGCGAGGGCACGCTGGTGTTCAAGCCGGGCGAGACACAGAAGGAGCTGCGCATCGGCATCATAGACGATGACATCTTTGAGGAGGATGAACACTTCTTCGTGCGGCTGCTGAACCTGCGCGTGGGCGACGCGCAGGGCATGTTCGAGCCCGACGGCGGCGGGCGGCCCAAGGGACGGCTGGTGGCGCCACTGCTGGCCACCGTCACCATCCTGGACGACGACCACGCGGGCATATTCTCCTTCCAGGACCGCCTGCTGCACGTGAGCGAGTGCATGGGCACCGTGGACGTGCGCGTCGTGCGCAGCTCGGGCGCGCGGGGCACCGTGCGCCTCCCGTACCGCACGGTGGACGGCACGGCGCGTGGCGGCGGCGTGCACTACGAGGACGCGTGCGGCGAGCTGGAGTTCGGCGACGACGAGACCATGTGAGCACGCCGGAGCGGGGAGGGGGAATGGGGCTCGGCGGGCATATGGGGCGGGGCCGGAGGCGTGGGCGCGGCCGACCGGTGGGCGGGCCGCGAGAGGGGGCGGGGTCGCGGGGCCAGGGCCGGCCCTGGGCAGTGGGGGGCGTGTCGGGTAGTGGGCGGGACCTGATTGGGGAGGGCTGGGGAGGCGGGGCACGGCCCAGAGAGGGGGCGGGCCAGGGACGAGGAGGGAGGAGACAGGAGTGACGGGGCGGGGCCAAGAGGAAGGGACTGGACGTGGGAAGGGCGTGGGAGAAAGAGGCTGGTTTGAGGAGAACAGGGTGGACCCGAGAAAGAAGGGCCAGGTGAGGAGAGAGAGGAGAAGAGGTAGGATAGAGGCCTGGGAAGAGGAGTGTAGAGGATTTAACTGGTAACTAGTAGGAGATGGAATGTGGCCTGAGGAGAGAGGCCTCGTGGACAAGAGGGGAGGGTCCGATCGAGGTGGGACGGTGCCTGTGGAAATGGAGAAGCAGCAAGGCCTAAGGCGATGGATGGGGTCTCGGTAGGGACCCAAGGAACTGGACGAGGACGGCGGGAGAAGGCGGGGCCTAAGGGGATAGGGCGGAGCTTGGAGCGGGACTAGGGAAAGGGTGGAGCTTGTGGGTAGGAGGAAGAACCTGGAGAAATGGCAGGACACTTCAGGGGAATGTGGGCTAGGCTTTGGGAAAAGACCGAGTCGGAATATGGGGGCCTGGCAAGGTAAGGGCAGGGCTTGGAGAGACACTGAAGAAACTGGAAGACACTGGATTTGCGGAAGGTGGCGTGGGGTCTGGGGAAGTGGGCTGGATACACCGACACAACCAACACACACACTGGCACATACAGAATCACCAAGCCACAGACACGCTCGCTAAAACACGGCGTCAGGGCTGGTCTCACGCCCAGACACCCGGCCACCCCCTTACCCAGATGCCCGAGTCTCCCCGCTGTGTGCCTGCAGCCTCCCATCCCCCGCCACCTGCCTGGGATGCAGACGGCGCCTCCCCCCTTTGCCTGCGCCCTTCCGCCCCCGCACGCCCGTCTGTCTCCCTCCTCCGGCCGCCCACGCTCCTCCCACCGAGCAGAGCCCCCACCGCGCTCCCTTCCCCCTCCTCCTCCCTGCCTCTGTGCCTTGGCCTCCGCTCAGCTTCTCACTGCTCTCCCCGCCTCTCCATCCCTCCCTTCGCGTCTTCGCGTCTCTCGCTCCTGGCAGTCTCTCTTTGGGTCTCTGTTAATCTCTAAATCTCGGCCCTCATTGTCTAGCTCTCTGACTCGGGTTATATTTCAGTTATGGACTCTCCGTACCTTTCCATCGCTCTCTGTCTGGCTTGAGCTGAGAACTTGGGCTGAGGGCTGTGGCACCACCCCAGGCCCCCTTCTCACATTCAAGAGGCAGGGGGAATGGGGGAAAGTTGTCTTTCTGCTCATTCTGGTCCTTCCTGTAGTCTAACCCGCTTCCCTCCTGCTGCTGCGACCCCACAGGCCCTCTCCTCCCCCACAGGGCTTCCCCAGGCTGGGACGCCCTCTGCCCCCGCCCCCACCCTCGCCCCCGCCCAAGCTTCCAGCTGTGGCTTCAGATGACAGAGAACAGGAGGCTAATTAGCTAAGTTTAGGGAAACACATCCTTCCTCTCCCGGGCAGGCGCTAATTAGAGGTGCTTGGAAGCAGCCCGGCTGGAGGGGCGGCCCCAGGCAGGATCAACACAGAGGTGGAGGAGAGATGCCCAGAGATGGGGTGGTGGGGAGAGAATGAGAGAGGGAGAGAGACGGAGAGACAGAGGCGCGGAGTTAGAGAAAGACAGAAACTTTGATACAAAAGGAGAAGGAAACTGAGAAATATGTGGAGAGAGGGAGCCAGAGAGATTGAGAAGCTACGATCCAGGAAGCCTGAAGGGAAGCGAGATTCAGGGAAGAAAGAGAGAGACCTTCTTACTGAGAGAAACTCAGTGGGACTCAGGGAAGGAGAGGTCCTCTTGATGAGACAGAGAGAAAAGAGTTTGGGTCAGAGAGAGGCACAAGAGACAGGATGCAAAGGAGACTGGTTCGAGATCAGAGGGAGATCAGAGGCTGCGGAGGGCGGGAGAGTGGGGTTTCCAGGAAACAGGGAGGGCAGGCATGAGGGAGTCAGACTGGGGAGAAAGGCTGCTTCCTTTGATCTCAGGAAGTCCTGCCTTTGTCTAGCTCGAATCCCTCTTGCTGTCCCCTGCCAGTTGGGTTTCTCCTCCCTGGGTCCCCTGAGGGCACGCCTGTCAGGGTGCCAGTTGGCACGCGTGTCACTGCGTGTCAGCCACCGCATGCCGGCGGATCACTGCGTGTCTGGGAGAGAGTGAGTGTTGGAGGTGTGTGCGTATCACCTTGTCAGCGTGTCACCAGGTCGGCAGCTGTCTGCGTGTCAGGGTGTGTGAGAAGAATGTCTCCAGAGACCCTGCTTCTTGCCACGGTGTTCCAGCACCGTGGACAGCTCCTAGCCCACAACTGAGGTTGGGGGCGGCGATTTCTTTTCACCCACAGAAAATTTAAAATATCCTGAGACCGGGACGGGGTGAGGGTGGAGGTGGGCATATGTCCCCACATGACTGTCTTGTGTGCATCTGTCTTTGTATGGGTGTCGCTGTGTCCTTTGCGTTTGTGTGTTGAGATGGGTCCATTGAGAGACTGTATGATTGAGAGCCTCTTGACTGAGTTGCGCTGACTTCGGTTATTCCATCCTATGGACACCGAGAGACTGAGATGGGGAGAGAAGAACACAGATGAAGAAAGGCAGAGAGCTGGGGAAGAGCCTGAGACAGAGAGGGTCGGAGATGGAGAGAGAAAGAGAGAGACTGAAGGGAATAAAAATAAACAGACAGCAAGAAGCTTAATGAGGGAGATATAAGGAAAGAGAGTCTACATGGTACCACAATGGGGCTCTGCAGGTTGGCGAAGTCGCGAGGCTGTGGTGGGGGTGTTGTGCTAACAGGCATCTGGTCTGTGTGATTTTGCCACTGCATAGGGAATGGCTATGGGGTGCGATGGTGTGTGGGTGTGGGCGGTGTGATTGGCTGAGCTTCCTCTGCTGGGTGACTGTGTGGGCTGGGTGTTTGTGTTTCTGGGTTCTGGGGCCAGGCTGCGAGGTTCCTACCACTGAGAGAGCTGCTAGTGGCAGGGCTGTGGTCTTTCTGGGGTTGTGGGTCTTTGTGAGTGAGGGGGGTGGGTTGTGTGCCTGGAGGGCAAAAATAATGTTTGGCTGTTCCTCCCTAGTCACCCCCCTCCCTGTTACCATAGCAGTGGGGATGCTGACAAAATCAATTAGCACTCAGCTAACCCTCAGAACGTGGTCAGGACAGAGAGCAGGAAGCAGAGCATCTCCTGAGCTGAAGGCTTAGAGTTAACAAATGTTTCTAGAAGGCATACTATGTGCCAGGCACTGTTCTAGGCGTTGGGGATACAGCAAAGAATGTAAATGAACAAAGGTCACCGCCCTGGTGGAACTTATGTCTTAATGTGAAGAGGCAAATGGCAAACCATAAACCAAATAAACACGTTAAGTGGTATGTTAGAAGGTGATATGGAACAAAGAAGATATAGAGCAGAGTAAGGGGGCCAGGCATGCTGGGGTCCAGGCAGGGGTGGATTTCAAAATTAAGAAAGTGGTGGGAGTGAGCTTCAATGAGAAATTAATTTGAACAGAGATCCAGAGAAACTGGGGGAATGAGCCTGGGGAAGAGTGTTCTAGGTAGACAGAACAGCCAGTGCAAAGGCCCTGAGGCACAAGCAGGCCTAGCATGTTCAAGGAACAGTGAGGAGGCCAGTGTAGCTGGAGTGTGTGAGTAAGGGGGCGTGGGGCAGGGGGCCAGAAAGGGAAAAAGGGCCACATGGCATGGGGCCTTGTTGGCCATTGTAAGGACTTTGGTTTTTATTTTGGCTGAGACAGGAGCCATATGAACATTTTGAGCAGAAGAAGGACCTACCCTAACTCTGGTTTTGTCAGGACACTTCAGGTTGCTATTTAATAAACCTCAGCTTCCTTAGCTGTTTCTGGGCATGTTTCTGTCAAGCAGGGATGATAGAGAGCCTTCCTGTGGGGGCAGTTGTGAGGATTAACTGAGATTAGGGAGCCTGGGATGGAGGGGTGCTAAAAAAAATGGGCTAATGGGTGAGTTGTCTGGCAATTTAGGGAGGGGGCTTATGCTGGGTGCTCTTCCTCCCCCCCCCCTCAGGAAAACTCTTCAGGTAAAGATAGTTGATGACGAGGAATATGAGAAAAAAGATAATTTCTTCATCGAGCTGGGCCAGCCGCAGTGGCTTAAGCGAGGGATTTCAGGTGAGGGGTGATGGGTGGGCTGTGGGAGAGGTAAGGGGTTCAGGGTGGGAGGACCCTTGGAGGCTCCATTAGTGGGTGCTTCTTCGGGCTCATGGATCTGAGCTTCCCAGGGAAGCAATCTCACCTTCTCTCTATTCTCTCTCTCCCCAGCTCTGCTGCTCAATCAAGGTGAGTGGAGTTACCACTGGGCTTGACCGGACAGCGACATGGGAGGGAGGTCTTAGGGGAGGGTCGTGGCCTCAAGCTACCCTTCCAGATCACGTTTGAGGCAAGTTAGAAGTGAGATAAAGGCAGATTCGGGGCCGGGTGAGGGTTGGAACTGACGTCAGAGTTGGTAGGGCCCATTGAGTTTGGAGTTACAGTTGGGGGTTTGGAGGCCAAGATCACGTTTTTGTTTTGTTTTTGAGTGAGAGGAGGGAGAGAGAGCACATGATTGGTGGGAAGGGGCAGAGAGAGAGGGAGAGAATCTTAGGCAGGCTCCATGCCCAGCGCAGAGCTCAGGGTGGGATTTCAATCTCACGACCCTGAGATCATGACCTAAGCTGAAATCAAAAGTCAGATACTCAACCAATTGAGCCACCCAGGTGCCCCAAGATCATGTTTTGTTTGTAAAGATTGAGGGAATGGTAAGTCAGGATCCCATCTGGGTTTATGGTGGGGTCAGATTAGAATTGGGGTCAGATTTAGGTCAAAACCTAGGTGGGGGGTTAAGGTGAGTTTGGGGGACTTACCGTTCAAATTGGGGCCAGGGTCAGAGATTGGGGGTGGGGGTGGGGGTAGTGGCTCGAAGATAAGGGACAGAGTAGTTTTGGAGCTGAGATCAGAATTGGGGTTTGGGGTTAGGATTAGGGTCAGATGGAAGATCGTATTAGGGTAAGTAATAGGAGCTTCTGTAACAAATAGGCCCCCTAATCCCAACAGCTTAACACAATAAAAATCATTGCTGGCAGAGTTTTCTGAGTGTTCCTGGTGGGGGTGGCTTTCCACTGAGAGTTAGGGTTAAGTTGATGCTGGGCTTGGACCCAAGGACCAACACGCTTCGGGGAGATAAGTGAGCTAGGGGTGGGTCTGTACTGAAATTGGGAATCCCCTCTTTCCTTACCACCTCAGACACACTCCAGGATGTTTTTCAGAGCTTGGATGTAGAGACAAGGCCTCTTCCCACAAGGGTGGTGATGATAATGATGAGGGTGGTACTTTTAACAAAGGAAATACCATTTTGGATTATTTATTGTGCACCAGGCACTGTGCTAAGCACTGCACATGAATTAACTTCTTTAACCCTCACAACCACCCATGAGGTAGCTACTGTCGTTGTGCCTGTTTTACAGATATGAACACTGAGGCAGAGAGAGTCCAAGGCATTGCCCCAGGTCACACAGCTCCTTCCATATGAAGCCCAGAGCCCACCAGCTGAACCTCATGGACCAGCTGGGTCTTTGGGTGGGGAAGATGGTGGTCAGATAGGACCCTGGGGCGGGCTGGGAGCATGCCACCAAGGAGGCTTCCCAGAGGACAGCAGACAGTTTTCTTTCTCAGTGGGAACGGGTAGCAAGGGCATCATGGGCCCAGTGAGGCGGGCCTCCCTGGAGTCTAACTCTCATCCTTCATGCTGCAGGGGATGGGGACAGGAAGCTGACAGCCGAGGAGGAGGAGGCTCGGAGGATAGCGGAGATGGGCAAGCCAGTTCTTGGGGAAAACTGCAGGCTGGAGGTCATCATCGAGGAGTCATATGATTTTAAGGTGACTTTCTGAGACCCCAGCTTCCTGGAGTCATTTCCTTGGGGAGGGTCCAGGAGGAATCCGCTATGAAGGTCACAAGGGAGGGGTGGTCAAATGTGCGAGACCATCCTCCCATCCCTCTGCTAGCACCATGGACAGCAGCACTCCCTTTTCCCTTCTTGCTGTGAACCTGGCTGTGGGGGGTTGGGGACCCCTGAGCATGAGCTGTGAGCCCCAACCCCAGTGTTCTGCAGGGAGCCTCGGGGTGCCCTGAGGTGGTCACGGGCAATGATCTCCCCCGGACTCTTTTATCCTCAGAACACGGTGGATAAACTCATCAAGAAAACCAACTTGGCTCTGGTGATTGGGACCCATTCCTGGAGAGAACAGTTTTTAGAGGCCGTTACAGTGAGCGCAGGTAAGTGGGGAGGGAGGAGAAAGGAGAGAGAGAGAGAGAGGGATGGAGAGACAGGGGAATGGTGAGGAAGAGAGAGAAAGAGGGACGAGAAGAGAAGGACAGCACGATAGAGAAGAGAAAGAGAACAAGAAAGACACAAAGAAACGGGAAAGACAGAGGAAAAGATAAGGAACGGATACAAACAGGAGAGACAGATACACAAAGAGAGATGCACAGAGAATCATGGAGAAAGACAGAGATGTGGAGAGAGCATGAGAAATGTAGAGGGTGAAGTCCCTAAATGGCAGAAGGCCAGAGTGAGAGACAGGGAGACAGAGAGAGACGGCCCAGGGGGCCGGTGGGGGAGCGGTCGGGCGGGGCTTTCTCATCAGACAGCCACAGGGTGGGACGAGGTTAAAAGTCTTGGCCTCCCCAGACAGCCTGGGCTCCTCTGTTGCCATGGAGACAGTCACCAGGGCACCCAGCTCTCCCACCTGTGCGGTTCATCCTCCTTAGGTCTCAGGCAGGCCCACACTGCCCCCCTGTGGCCAGAGGCACCATGACACTTGGATTCACAGGCTCAATCCTGGAGATCAACATTGATCGGCACTTTGTGATACGGATTGGGGAAACTGAGGCCCAGAGGCAGAGGAGGGACTGGCTTGAAGTCCCACAGGGAATTCAGAAAGAGCTGAGGTGGAGCTCAAGGCTTCTGTCCTTTATACATCAGGTTTCCTTCTAGGAGGCCTACCTGGTAGGAACTGAAAATACACCAGGAATTGTGGTTGCTCAGTGGGATGGAAAGAAACCAGGCTTCGGAGATGGAAAAATACCAGGTAGCAGAGCTGCGGACACCAGCTCAGAGGTCTAATAGAAACGAAGTGGTGTCTCCCTCTGAAGCCACATCCTTTCAATATCTATTTCTGAGGGATTCTCTTGACTCAGCCCTGTGTAGGACAGTGCTGGGGACAAAGAGATAACCATGACCGATTGGTCCTTGTTCTCACAGAGCTCACAGTCCAGCTGGGAAGACAGACCTGTCACAAGACAGTGACAACCCAAAGCAGGCAGCACTGGGACAGGGGACCCGATGTTGCTGCAGGAGCCCAGATAGGGTGTTGACCCAGCTCAAAGGTCATGGAGGACTCCCTGGAGGAGGAGGCTTCTGAGCTGAGTCTTCAAATTGGAATAGGAGTTAGCCAGGGGGAGGGAGAAGACAGGGAGGTGTTCCAGGCAGAGGGAAAACCAAGTCCAGAGTCTGGAAGTCTGCTGGGTCATGGCACATTTGGGGGGGTGTGGTGGTGACTAGTTTCGGGCATGAAGAAGCAGCATGGGATGAAGCTGGAGGTGGGCAGAGTCCAGACCATGCAGGTCCTCATAGGCTCCAACAGGGAGCTTGGGTGTCATTTGGTGCATGGGGGCCCGTGGAGCATTCTCAATGGGGGAAGCTCCAGGTGCCAGAGGGAGCCCGTGGGAGGAAGAAGGAGAGGCTGGGGTGGGGCGTGACGATGTGATGAGGAATTGGAGCTTCTGTCCAAGAATGCTGGGGAGCCACGGCCCTCCCTCTGGGCTTAGGGAAGAGGAGAGGGTGTGAGACGGTGGTTACAGAGGGCCAACGTGAGTCAGCGGTGGGTCTGTAGAGAGCAACTGATTAGATCGGAGGAAGGAGTGAGGGGGGGTGGGGGGACCATACCAGTGGTAAGTAATCATCCTGATGGTGACAGTGATGATGGGGACAGTGGAGTGCCAGGGAGCTTGGAAGTCCATTTCCTGTATGACCTCACCTAACAGATGTTTCCCAAGTATCTTGTTCAGTGCTTGATCATTTTGCACTTTGTTCAACAAATGCCTTTCCATCCTTGCTGTGAGCCCAAAGCTGCTTGAGGCGCTGCCGGAAAAGGGCAGTTCTCAGCCCCTTGGAGGGTGAATCATGTCCCGTCTGGCATGTAGAGGTGCTCTTGTATTATATCCTTTACCTCCCTGCCTCAACTGTAAGCTCTTTGCAGGGTGGCCTTGGTTTGGAGCTTCAGTGAATCTCCCCAGGCCCTAGAAGGGGCCTTCGAACAATAACCGTCACACTGGAGGTGGGCCAGGCTGCACGGAGAGTACTTTCTGTGGCCTCACTCATGTAGTCATCACGGCCTTCTCTTGAGGCTGGTCCAGTTCCTCCTCCCATTTCTCAGATAGGCAGCTGGAAGCTCAGAGAGGTTAGGACACTGATTCAAGATCACACAGCAGATCCAAGGTTTGACACCAGAGAGGTAGCCCCAGAGCCACAGACATAAGCATGAGGCTCCCTCCATGGGAAAGGCTGAAGAAGAGCCTCCCCTGATGGGAAAGGCCAGAGAAGTAAGCAAAGGCCAGAGCCTGCGGGTTCTCAAATGCCAAGCGCAGGAGTGTGGGCCTGGGTCTAAGGGCAGTAGGAAACCAAGGCAGGATTTGAAGCAGAGCAGGGAAAGCCCCCAAGAGATGCAATGAGAGCAGCCCCTTCCCTCCCAAGAGTGTGTTCTCCCCACTCTGACTTTGGCCATGTCTCACTGTGGCCAATTAGGAATGCATTCAGCAGCAAACACCAGAAAACTCAACCACAGTGGTTTAAGCACACTAGAGTTTCTTTTTCTCACAGAACCAAGAAATCCATAGGAGGCGACAAAGAGTTGGCAGCTCAGTAACATCCTTAAATGCCCAGGCTCCTTCTTCATTTCTCTTTCCCACTTTCAGCTGTTTGCCCTCATGGTTGCAAGATGGCTGCCGCACCTCCAGGTGTCAAGTTCGCGTTCCAGGCAGGCAGAAAGAGGAAGCAGGGAAGCAAGGAGGGTTACACTGTTTCTTATCAGCATCCTTCCAGATGTAGTGCTTGGTCACTGGAGTCGTTCACTACTTCTCATTCATCACTTTATGCTTCTCAGTTTAGGGCAAGGTAGACAAAACATTTCATCTGTGCTTTCCTGTTACAAGTCGAAAGCAGGTCAAATTCCGTCACAAAACGTGGCACAGACAACGTGAATGGTGAGTGAGGCATCCCTGAAAGGTTCAGAAAAACAGATCGGTAACACCGTGCTTGTGTCAGGAAAGCCGGAGCCTTCCAGAAACCCTCTGTTTAGGTCTCATTGCCAGACTGGGTCACATGGCCACTGCTGCAAGGGAGTGTGGGAAAGCAAGTATTTAGCTGAGGACAGGACTGCCACTAGCTGCAAGGAATTCCAGGAAAGTGAATATTTTATCTGAGGACATGGCTGTTGCTCGCCCGAAGGGATTCTGGGAACGTGAATAATGTTAGCTAGGTATCTGGCTGGCGCTCTAGCTGCAAAGGATTCTGGGACAGTAAGCACCATTAGCTGACTATGTGGCTACGGTTAGCTGCAGTGAATCAGAGCAAGTCAATATTTCTAGCTACAGAAATGGCTGTATGTAGATGGTAGTTGTAAGGGCTTCTGAGAAGAAGACTATGTTTTTAGCTAAGGAGATGGCCACCCCTAGCAGCAAGGGATCCTAGCAAGCCAGATATTTTTAGCTGGGCACGTAGCCTCTATCTTCAAGGAATTCTGGGAAAGCGAGTATTTTTATCTGGGCCCATATATTCTCCTAGCTGCAAGGGATTCTGGGAAAGCAATTTGCTTTAGGGAACTCACTGCCTGGAAATTGCACAAAATGGGAGGGATCTGTAGGTGAGGAAGAAGGAGGCATGGGTGTGTGCCCCAGCTGGGTCGTGTGCCCACAGGGGACGAGGAGGAGGAGGAGGACGGGTCCCGGGAGGAACGGCTGCCTTCCTGCTTTGACTACGTCATGCACTTCCTGACGGTGTTCTGGAAGGTGCTATTCGCCTGTGTGCCCCCCACTGAGTACTGCCACGGCTGGGCCTGCTTCGGCGTCTGCATCCTGGTCATCGGCCTGCTCACCGCGCTCATTGGGGACCTGGCCTCCCACTTTGGCTGCACCGTTGGGCTCAAAGACTCTGTCAACGCTGTAGTCTTCGTGGCCCTGGGCACCTCCATCCCCGGTAACCCCCTGGGAGACTGCTTGTCCGGGTAGAGTCTCAGAGAAGTCCAACAGTAGAGCCTAAAAGAAAGGTTCTGCAGATATCAGGTGGTGGAGTCATACAGAATCCATATGGTGGGTCCCCTAGAGATATGATGATGGAACATAACAGAAACTAGGCGGCGGGGGTCTGTAGATTCAATATACAGACTGAATCCTCCCCAAAAGCAACCGGGCGTAATGTCCCATAGAACTAAGGTGGTGGGAGATGTAAAAACCAGACGATGGATTCCATAGAAAGAAGGTGGGGCACTGAAGAGAAAGGAGAGGGGTCCCATAGAAATAAGGTGGGGACTTCATAGGTACCAATCAGTGGGTGCCAGAGAAACAAGATTAATTACCTTCCCCTCGAGAAACCACGTGGAAGATTCCATCGAACCATGTTGGTGGCCATGACAGGGACGAGGCCAGTGAGTCTCAAAGCTTTAACTAAGATGAGCAGGCAGAGTCGAAACTAGATGTTGGAGGCGGGGGTGCCACAGAAATAAGATAGCGGGGCCTCGAAGCCTGTAGTGTATGTCCCATGGAAACGCAATGTCCATGATCCCCCTCTTCCCAAATAAACCTGAGAGAGGGTCCCTTAGAGACCAGGGGGCCCAGACAGAAATTCTTACAGGAGTGGGAAGACCAGATGTGGGGAGCCTGACACCTTTTTTCCCCCACATGGATGTGTTCACCAGTCGGGTGGTGGCGCTGTAGACCTAGAAAGCAGGCGGCGGTCCCCTAGACTACTGTGAATGGTTCCCTGATGCCCGCGCTCCGTACCAGCGATCTGAGTTATTAGCAAGATGTTCAAAAGTGGGCAGAGGCCATAGAAACCAGGCTGTATGCTTGACAGAAACCACGGGGGAGAATTGACAGGCACAGGATCACGTGCGCATGGGACCTAACACATATTTTGTCCAGCCAGGTGGCAATGGGAGGATTGGGCCAATACAAAAGCAGGCGGTGGGCTCATGCGATGCGGAGAGTGATTCCTATGGAGAGCAGTGAGTCCCAGAGAAAGTAGGCGGCAGGCCCCATAGAAGGCAGAGACTGGGCCCCCCTCTCCCCCCCAAATCAGGCAGCGGGTCCACAGGAAGCAGGCAGCGGCTGCCACGCCAAGTAGGTAGTGGATACCACTGAATGCAGACCTAGAAAGCAGGCAGCGAGTTCCACAGAAAGCAGGCAGCCGGTTCTGTAGAGAGCAGGCGTAGGGACGGTGAGCCGCTTGGCCCCTCGGGTGGGGTCAAGGCCGCCGGTGCAGAGCGGCAGCAGGGGAGGCGGGGAGGGCCCACGGCGCGGTCTGGCTCGTCGGACGCATGGGGGTGGCGTCGGGCCTCACGGAGAGCAGGCGGCGGGGACCCGCGGGGGCCCTCTGACCGCCGTGTCTCTGCCCACGCAGACACGTTCGCCAGCAAGGTGGCGGCGCTGCAGGATCAGTGCGCGGACGCGTCCATCGGCAACGTGACGGGCTCCAACGCCGTGAACGTGTTCCTGGGCCTGGGCGTGGCCTGGTCGGTGGCCGCCGTGTACTGGGCGGTGCAGGGCCGCCCGTTCGAGGTGCGCACCGGCACGCTGGCCTTCTCCGTCACGCTCTTCACCGTCTTCGCCTTCGTGGGCATCGCCGTGCTGCTCTACCGGCGCCGGCCGCACATCGGGGGCGAGCTGGGCGGCCCGCGCGGCCCCAAGCTCGCCACCACCGCGCTCTTCCTGGGCCTCTGGTTCCTCTACATCCTCTTCGCCAGCCTCGAGGCTTACTGCCACATCCGGGGCTTCTAGCCCCGCCCCCCGCCCCGCCCCCGCCCCGCCCCCGAGGCTCGGCGGCCCCTGCTCTGGACCCGCGTCTCCTCTGTCCTCCAGAGATTCGGCCTCCTCTCCTGGGACTCAGCCTCCCTTCCTCCCGGGAACTGGTAGCCCCGCCCTCTGTCCCCACTGACACCCTCCTCCCTTCCCCTCGGGAGTCTCCCCGAGGTGCCCGCAACTGCAGCCCATCCCTGTTAGTCACTGCCCACACCCCTGGGGACATTTGCACCTCGAGGCCCCTCCCTAGAGGACCGCCCCCTACCCAGTGACCTTCTAGAGAATCTACCATCGGTCTCTCTAGACACCCAGCCTTTCCCTATCCTTTACGATCCCCTTCCTCGAGAGGATCCCCCCACCACCACCACCACCAGGGACCTGTGCCCCAGGGCCTCAGAACCTAGCCCTCCCTGGGGGACCTTTGAAGGAGGCTGATCCATCCCAGGATGTCTCCGCTCTCAGCCCTTCTCCCCAACCCTCAGGGAGCTCTGTTCAGCCCCCGGGGGTGGGGCGGAGGAACAGGTAGGTGCGTGCATAACGGGGCCACACCTTCCCTGATTTCTCCACTCAGGCCCTTGGGAGGATACTAATTCTCGAGGCTTGGAGAAGGGAGGGGAGAAGTTTGGGGTTTCAGAGCTGGAGGAGGCACATTTGAACCTGCAACTTCTCACATTCCAGTGCCCCCACTTGCCTCCACTACCTCTGAGAGCCCAGCCACGCCTTGAAAGGGGGAGGGGGCTGTGTGTATATATAGTGTGTTTGGGGGAGGGGGGACGCGGGAGGGTGCATGTCTTGGGGAAAGGGGGTGACAGACTTTCCTTTTGTGAGGGCAGCAGACTCCCCCCAGCCATGAGAATTGGCTTTGGGAAGGAGGCCAGGAATCAAAGGGAGTCCAGCCATCTCCCCTGACAATCTAGAAGGCTCATTTTGCCCTCAGTGCCAGCCAATCCGGGCAGGGCCCTCGAAGAGGAGACCGAGGGTCCCAGAGGACCAAGGCTACAAGCCAGCAAATGCTGCCACATCTCTGCCTGATGGGGAGCAGGGGTGGGTGGGAGGGTGGGACTGGGGCCAGGGGGTCTGAGTGGGCATTTTTAACTTTGGAGGCCACCCATCTGTTGGTAGGCCATCTGCATTTTCTTACTGTTGTTTCCTGCCCAAAGGACACACTTGGGGTGTGCGGAGTGCTGCCCTCTGCTTGGGACCCTGAGGATCGCCCTGCAACCCCCATAACACCCTGCTTCCCACAGGTTTTTAGCGTTCTATCGTCCTGTTGTGCATCACCCCAACATCCCAGACCTGTTACCCACTCCCCTTTCTCTACTCCTAGCTCATCAGCACCAGTCGCTGTGTCTTCTCTGTGATTTCTGTAAAAGTTGCCATAAAAATTTGAAATTCTGCCTGAAAAACAGCCTTCCCGTCAGCAGTTGGGATTCTAGAGGAGGGAGCTAATGAAGTCTCTGACTGAGACTTGGGCAACTGTGGAACAGACCAGGTACTCTGGGTTTTTCCATGCCCCCAGTCCTCTGCAGGACACCCACATGCACCAGCCACACTTGCTTCCCGTAGCCACGCCCCCATTCACCACCCAATTTTCCCTGGCTACGACCCTACGCCGCGCCCAGGAGCTTTCCCTAGCCACGCCCCCAACGGCCAGCCAGTTTTCCCTAGCCACGCCCCCACGCCTCACCCGGGAGCTTTCCTAGCCACGCCCCCATTCCACCAGCTACAAACTCTTCCTTTTCACTGGGCATCCTGGGAACACAAAAGAGGAGGACCCAGATTTGCCTATCAGAGGAGCTGGGGTTGATGGGAGTTTCCTGAATAAAGCTAGTGATTTTCTCAGAATCCTGAAATAGGAGAAGCTAGTGTGTGTGTGTGTGTGTGTGTGTGTGCGCGCGTGCGCTTGCTTCACCAAGAAAAGGGCACAGCCTATGTAAAGGTGTGCAGACTTGTGATTTACTGGCTTTTTCATACTCCTGCCAGTGGTTAGCATGAATGGGGTATGGAGTGCCTGGGGATGGGGAGTGGAGCGAGCTCAAGAGACCTTATCAGCCCCTCTAAGGAGCTGAGAATTTATCCCAAAACCAAAGGGGAGCTTTGGAAGGGCTTTAAAGAGGGGGCAGGCAGTTGATGTCTGATTTACATTTTCAAACTTTCCTTTTGGCTGCCTGTGAGGCTGGAGGCTGCGAGATCAGGGAGGAGGCTGGGGCAGCAGAGGGGTCCTGGAGTAAGGAGATGGAGGTGGAAGGGGGACGGCACGAAGGGGATGGTTTAGAAGATAATGGATCAGGCTGGATGAGGGTGTTCAGGGAGAGCGTGCAGGCAGGGCCCTAGCAGGAAAGAAGTGGCGCACGCAAAGGGAGTCGCCAGGGAAAGTTTAAAGAAGGGGCTATTAAGGGATTAAGGGGTGGGCAAGGTCAAGGAAGACAACCCCGGAGAAGTCGCAGTACCTCGGGGCCGGCAGTAGAGGGACCAGTTACCACCCCCGGTCTGAAGGTGTGAGCTGACAGTTACCTGAAGCTGTTGAGATTTGAAGCTGTAGGTATAGTGAAGGCCATGAGTATGGGCATCGACGACCCACACTGAAGAGAGAAGGGGGCTGGACAGTGAACAGTGAACACCCCAACCTGACTCTCCTCCCACCCACCAGGCTCCTGCTGGTGCCTCCCATTGGCTGAATTCAACCGGAAGCCAGAGGTTAATAGTTGGTGCATATAGGTCACCCTCCTAGGACGCAGAGCTGGAGGGAGAAGGGTGGAGAGTGGATCCGGTAATTGGGGGTGGGGGACGGGGAGTCAAGTGTGGAGAATGTCTGGCAGAAGCAGTGAGGTCTCTCCTGGGTTTGGGGAATGAAGGTGGGGATAAGTAGGGAGAACAGGTTTGGAGAACATGCTGGATTCAGGTGAGTACATGCTGAGGGTGCAGCCTATGGGACATCCAGAGGAGATGTCAGGGAGGGGAGACATCCAGGGGACACCTGGAACTCAGGAGAGGGGGATGTGCTTGACAGAGATTTGGCATCTGTTGGCAATGCGGTGTTACCAAGCCACGGAGGGGGTGGGGCACAAGGAACGTGGGAGACCTGCCGATGGAGAAGGACACGCTGGAAAGGTAGGTGGGAAACCAGGAGACTGGGACACCTGAAGCCCAGAGAAGAGAGTTTCCAGAATGAGGGTGCGGTTGACAGGATTGAAAGGTGGAGGGAGATGAGCAGCTGGAAGCAACCTTGGGATTTAGGACTTGACAAGAGCAGTTTGGTGGAGGGTGTGGGGGAGGGGTCAGGCTGATCTAGACGGAGGAGGGAGTGGAAGTCCGGAAAACTGAGGCAGAGCATATAGTCCCTCCTAAGGATCGCCCCCCTTCTACAGGTGTGGAAACAGGCTCAGAGAGGGAAAGCAACTCGCCCAAAGTCTCATGGCTAGGAAGGGCAGGGATGGAAGAGGATGAGGTCCAGAGTGCCCAGTGGAACAAGGACAACTCTGTCTTACCAGGTTGAAGAAGGACAGTGGGGTAGAGGCAAGGAAATGGGTGAGCCTGGCCTCAGGAAGATAAGTAAGATCTCAGCTTCAAAGAGAGAGCATATCCAGAGCTTGGGACGTGGATGAGATGAGGACCGTCCCACACCAAAGTCACGATTCTTCCCTGGATGCTAGGAGTTCCAAGGGAGTCAGCTTGGGAGTGATTTCAATTACTTGTCATGGCAGGAAGCAATAGCACAATGATTTCCTTTCTTCGTGCCTCAGTTCCCTCATCTGGAAAATGGGGACAAGAACAATAATAATGGGGACTAATGGTGCAGGGTTCTATGGAATGATATATATTTTTAGAATAATACCTAGCGCATAGTAAGAGCTCAATAGATGGAAGAGTTATACTTTCTAGATATTTCCAGCTTGCTTACTTTTATAGTTCATATTCTCTCTCTCTCCCCCTCCTCTCTCCCTCCCCTCCCCATTCACATGCACGCGCACACACGTACACGCACGCACGCACGCACCACAATGGCCGTCCTAGAACAGCCCCAGAAGGACAGAGAAATGCAGACTCCCTATACACCTGCTTTGCCACCTGAGTCTCGGTTCCTAAAACCCAAACCCGGGGGAGAAGAAATGGGGAATATCCCTTCCACTCGCTCTAGACCCCACGTTCTTTAATTCCCTTTATCCAGTACGTGCCTGATCTGTGCCTGGCACTATGCTGGGGCCACTGTGGTGACCAAAATCTCCCTTGGCCCTGCTCTCGCCCGGCTCTCAGGGCAGTGGGGGACACATTGCAAACAGAGTGCAAGAGGTGGCGGTCAGCTTGGGACCTGTGAGTGGAAAGACTCTGTAGCAGGACACAGGTGGCAGGGAACTGGGGCAATGGGGCTGGTCTAAGCAAGCAGGGTGAAGGGAAACGGACAAGGGATGGTGCAGGACTCTGGGGCTGGCAGAGCTGAGAGCTAGTAATGCCCCCAGCCTGGGGGATGGGGCGGGGGGGGCGGGGGGCAGTGACTTCCAGAAGCTGGAAAGTATGGCCACATGGAGAGGGTCACCCCACAAAAGCTGTGGCTCTGGTATAGACATGCAAACTGACCCACACCCATGGGGTGGGGGCCGGGCCAGTGGGAGGTGTGGGGCGGTGAATGCCCTGACCTCACTCTAGGGCTCTACAGGAGTCCCTAGGACAGACAACCCTTGGATGCCCATTAAGCCGCGCTGCGGTAAGCTGACTAATGGCCCCCCAGCAGGTCCCCTTGCTAATCCTCAGAACCTGTGGATATGTTCCTTTCTGTGGCCAGAGGGACGTCACCAATGTGATTAAGCTCGTCTTACGAGGGGACATTACACTAGATTATCTGCGTGGGCCCTAAGTGCAACCACAAGGGTCTTCAGAAAGGGGGAGGGGGTGAACGCAGCAGGACGTGTGACAGGGGAAGCAGAGGTTGGAGTTACCCGGGAAGGGCCACAAGCTGAGGAGCTCAGGCACTTCTGGAAACTGAAGAAGGCAAGGGACCGGCTTCTCCCCTAGAGCCCCTGGAATGAGCGGCCATCACCTTGATGTTGGATTTCTGGCCTCCTGAACTGTAGGGAAAGAAGTGTGTGTTGTTGGAAGCCCCTAAGCTGGTGGTAATGTGTTACAAGAGCAACAGGGAATGAATGCAGAGGCTTGCCGAAGCCTCCTAGTGCCAATTCCCATCTCTCCCTGGACCTCAGTAATGTGAGCACATAGTGGAAACTTCTCGTATTTCTGGCCACTAAATGCGCTATGCGTGGGGACGTTTCCAGCCTTGAAAGTTTGTATCCTCCAGAAAAGAGCCATGGAACTGACCTTCCCAGCCTTCTTTACAGTTAGGGCACAGTCGCGTGACTTAGATCCCCCCAAACAGACTCACCAGCAGGAGTCCTCAATTCCAAAGGAGCGCCTTGCAAAAGCAGGCACCGTAGGGGATCCGTGTAGCTGGTGAGGATGGTGTCACACCGGCACCCACTGACTTTGGGACGGCTCGCTGGTTGCAAGAAGGGGCACAGACACAGAGGTAGCATCAGTGTTGGGGGAGGGGGGGCAGGCGAGGTTATGTCCCGGTCCCAGCAGCGGTGCAAACTGGGACATCCAAGACTCAGATCCGGATCGCCCATGGCTATGGAGGTGGCTTCCTTGTTGGGTCCATTCTGGCCGAGGTTTGGGGCTCTCTTTCTGGAACCTTAGCCTCATGCCTGGTTCTCCAGGCCACTCAGTGCTTCCGTGGGCCCCTCATACCTTTTTCCTTAAG